TATTATTAGAAAACGCTGAATGACTAAAGAAGTAGAGAAAACTTGGGCTGGAGTTCTGGGTGGCTTCTGCTTTGAGTCAGAAGGCATTCAATCCACTCACCCACCCCACATCCATACTCGTGGATGGATTGTTCTGGCTAACCCAGTCTGATCACATCCTGCGTCCTTCTCTGTCAACTGAGGAAGAGTCACACTAATGCAGGAACATCGCGGCCATTGATTGTGCTTTCAACCATGATTTTCAACCCTATTTACTGATGTCTTTCCCATAGATTTAAATAAAGATGTCACTTTAGTCTCTGTTCCTATTGAAGCTCCAGCCAGTTGAGCAGATTCTGGCTGGAACATCTTATATCTGTGCCCTAATAATGAACCCTCTTTCAAAGTCATTTTTTCTCTTGCCATATTGATCCAAAATCAAGTTCAACTGGGCCTTCACAGCATATTTTTACTGTCCAAAAAAAATATATATATACATATATATCCAAAACAGTAACTTTACAGGAGAAGGCAAACATTCTTAACTTTTAATTTAATATAAAGAGGTTTTATTCCAAATAATTGTAAAATATTAAAAAAAAATTCCCGTTCATCCTGAAATATTAACACAATTTTCAAATGGTGTGGAAAAAATAAATCAACAAAAATTGACTTTTTTTTTGAACAGTGATGATATACGTACCACAGAGCATGGTAGGATGTTAAATGCTTTAGTTTTTTCCCTTATTATATCATGTATCTGGATGTATTTTAGTGCCACTAAAAATGAGTCATATGATTTGATTTTAGAATATTTCCTGTCATTACAGACAGTTAATGTAAAGCTTTAAGTCAGGAAATACACTGCCTTGAACAATTTGGTTCAAGAAATGGATCTAACTTTATTGTATTTCAGTTATTTTAACTCTAAATCACCCTAGGAATAGCTCTCTGTCTCATTTTATTAAAGCGATAGCTATAAAAGGTGAATTTAGGGGAGCATGTGGAACAACCTAATGTGGGCCACAATTTAACACAGACATTTTATGTGGTTACACAAGGTCAAGCAGCATGTTGTTCTACCCACATTAACACATTTCCTAGCCACGGTCTCCTGCAAACATTCAGAGCAATTTCTCAGCGCTTTAAAGAGATCTGCACCAAATAGTGTTTTCAGGCCATGTTAGTATTTTTTTCCACACAAGTTTTTTCAGTTACTGAGCTGTTTGTGTAAATCACAAAATCCAACCTTTTTGCTGTAATCACTTTCTTGTTGCCTACAATGTAGCACCATTCTGAAGCATGTGACAAACCTAAAGCAAGCACTAGTCAAGCTTAAGTACAGCCTCCGTACTGCGGGGTTAGTTCTTACATGGCATTACAAGTAAGCCATCTTTAATACACAAGGAAAAATAAAGTAAATTTTGTCTTTTTGTTCCATACGTTCACACAGATTTTGAAATGAAAAAGAGAAAACATCTGAAAACAGGGAATTTTATCTTTATCTTTCAGCTGTTAGTATTTTGGTTTTAAATAGGTGCATTAATGAAATTGACATTAACAGATCATTAAGCTGTAGTTATTCACAAACAATGTTCCATATCTTAATGATGTGTGATGTTTTTATTTGCTGTACTACACAAATAAACTGTCATTGTTTGACACACATACTTATGTCATTTTTCATATAATTAATGTATGTGTATGTGTGTGGGTGTCAATAGAGCTGTCTGTCTGTCTCATCATATATAATACAGTATGGTTAGAATATATATTCACTTCTTACAACACAGAAATATATTGAATTAACTTTGTTTGCACTAATTCTTCAAAATTTTCTAGCTAGCTTTACAATTAACCCCCGCCCCCCTCCATGGGTTAAACTGTAACACTGTGCTTCCCATCATTTAAGTGTTCATTTGTAGAAGAAATGTACATGTTGCTTGTATAAAAACATGATTATTTCAACTTAAATATATTTTTTAAATTATTTCGCAAAGACCAAAATGTATTAGGTTGTGCCATGCTCTCCCCTTCACAATAATTTAGGTATGTAGTTGGTATAATGCTAATTGGTGCACATAAGCTTCCAGAATGTTAGCTACATTAGCCTCATAGCCTCAGTATAAAACTATTCTTAAAGAGAGAAATTGAGTGTAAATTAGAGATTTTGCCAAATAATGGCTTTAATGTACACTAATTTTTTTTATTGAAAACATCTCAGATCTGCTATTTTGTTCAGTTCTACTTCCTTAAAAGCAGGAGTAGTGTTCAAATTACAAAGCTATCTAGGCTGACGTTTTGTGCAGGATGGTAGTTTCAGGCAATCAAGACTTTTCTCACAATACCTAATTAGATCTTAGTTTTCTGTTAATTTTGGTATTACTGGCTTCCATTGCGGAATCACAGCGTCCAAGCTCAACATATAAGAAGGAAAATGATAAACTCTTCATTGTGCCACTACACACTTAACAGATGCCTTCCGTACTAATGAAATAGAAAAAAATTATATTTCCTCCCATAAAAGGTCTACAAAAAATCATAGTTAAGCCTCTGACATTCTGTCTTTGTATACACAGGTTTATTGATTCTGTCTGGAAGCTGACAGGGTGGCTTAACCATGGCAGCCTAATAAACTTCTGAGCTTCAGCAGACTTTTCAGAAAGGCTTGATAACGTTCACAGACTGTTTGGATATGGTTGTGTCCACACACACACACACACACACACACCTTCTAAACCGCTTATCCCTCTTGTTCACTGTGCAGGAGCCTATCCCAGCTGCCATTCCATTTCAGGGCAGGCACACAGACATATACATTCACACACACACACACACACACACACACACAAACACACACACACACACACACAGACACCCACCCAGGGGCAATTTAGCATCTCCAATTGGCCTAACTGCATGTCTTTGGACTGTGGGAGGAAACCGAGTACCCAGAGGAAACCTACACACACCATTTTTTAAATTGCTGCATAGTTAATTTGTTGAGATGTAAACAAAGTCATTCAGAGTGATTTGATGTGAAATTGTATTGTACAGAAATGTGCCAACTCAGATTTCTTTAAATTGGTGGTGATAGGAGCCAGCGGTCGTTAAATTGGTGTTTACATTAACACCACATGGTGGCACATGCTGCATACATTTACAGTCTATAACTTCCATATATGGCTGATGGCTATGTTATCAACATCCTTATTCTATGAAAAAAAGCTCTCTTGGAGCTGATTATTAGTTATTGCTATTATTATTAGTGGCTTTGTGCGTAAAACTGTCCTTTTACTTATAGAAATAATAAGTTGCAGCAAGTATATACTTTTATACAGTATCTATTATGGTACTGAGCAAAAATTTAGCAAGAATGCTTTTGGGCTGTTTGTGTCTGGGACATTATAAGAGGATTAAAATGGACCCATCACCAATCCACTCCCATAAATTCAGATTGTCCAATTGTAGCTTAGTGCCTGTAACCAGGGCTGGGCACCTGAGATAAGCTTTCAAAAACTTGCAGTATACCTCTGCCTTGACCTCTTAAGTTGTGTCATCATTTTGTAGCCATCATCATGTCCATATTAGCAACTTAAGGTCTAAGCTGATTTTCTCTATGATAAAAATGAATAGTGTTTTGGAAAATTGTAACTGTTGCATCCTATGCAAACTAAAATGTTTCAAAGCTAATACGTTTAGCTGTACATACAATTTTCCTCCAAATATCACTGGATTCTCCAAATTATGAGGTTGTTAAAAAGCCAAAATACAACTATTGCTACATGCAAGCTAAAATTACACTGAACTGACATCATAAGTCTGGCAACTTCACCAAAATATCCCAAAGAAACAGCAAGCTTTGCCAAATGTGGAAGTTTTAGGCTGCAGTTTGAGTAGCTTAGGTTTGTATACAATAGCATTTAAGTTTAACTATAGACTTAGTTTCATGTGATGTCATTTCAGTGTGTAAGAGCCTGTATATAGCATTGTCCGTATTTTAACTGCTAAACAACTTTTCACTTCAGAGGATCCTGTAACACTGAGAGAAAAAATGTGCACAGGACAAAATGTATGGCTTTGTGGCATTTTATTTTACCACAGGATGCAACAAAAGCTATTTTTATTATTTTTATTATTTTGAAAATGATCCCTGACTTCAGAGGTCTATTTGTGTGTGTTTCTATAGATTACAATATCACAAGAGCTGGGGATAGGAGTTGGCTAAATTGGCCAACTACCAAATCTGGCTAGCTAACAAAGTCTTTTGATGCTATTTTTTTATTGGATTTCATATGCAGCTAAAGCAAAACTAAATTAATATAAATATAGGTAGGAAACACTTTGATGCATTCCAACTGGTACAGTTCATTGTTTACTAGCTAACAAGTTAGCTAACACTGAAAATATTTTAAGAATTTAAGACCCAATTAACTCTAAGTTATCGTTAAAATGCATAGAGTAATACATTTACCTGCCCTGGCTTCTGTATTGGTTGTTATTTGATGAAGCTTTTTGCCTGTATCTGTAGGTCTGTAGGGTTTAGCCTCTATATTTAGCTATCTAGCATCAGGCTGCAGAGAGATCATGATGTTATGCAGCCTTCAAATTCATACTGGAGATCTTATGTACATTTATACAAGGAAATGTACTTTTTATGTACATTTATACAAGGAAATCCCTCATAAATCATTTACCACTGCCACTGAAAACTCTGTACTTGCTAGGCTGTACTTGTTATCTGGGGTTACCTCAGAAAGACATTTGCATTGAGACAGGCATCGACTGAAAGACTGAGGAAATGATTAAAACGGAAATGAATAAATGAAGTGATAAACAGAGTGATTTGCTCAATCAAGCATTGGCTCCAAGGACCTCTCAACATAATGACCAAAAAAATGAGAGAGAAGTAATTGGTTTGGCTACAGAGGCTGAAGTCTGATAATAGTCTGTTATCTGCAACACAGAGTGATGAAAGCAGACAGTTAAGAAGAAATGAACCATTCTGATGCACAGGGAGCTCAGAGGTATTTATAAAAAAATGTTTATTATCAATTAAGATGATTTGAATCAAACCTCATTGCACTTTCATGTCATATAAACCTTAAAAACTTTATTTCAAAATCTATCTATAAAGCCATCATCTTTCCCGTCCCTCAAACCTCGACACACAGCTCAACAGTGTATTCATTAGGCGCCTCTCTTTGAGGGCAGTTTCCATCCAGCAAAGTACATCGTGCTCCAAGACAAGACAGAGCTCATTACTCATATAGTCAAGACATTGATTGATTAAATACGAGGTGCTATTTGATTCAGTTTTCAGTTTTGTTCTCAAAGATGGATGCAACCTGTGAGGACAAGAATGCACAAACGGGAATGCTCCAGGTTCTTACAGACACAAAAGAACCAACAGAAATGGCAATATCTGGGATAAATGAGATGCAATGGCTGGCAAACATCAATCACGCCATTGAAAAGTGAATGCTTCTGTTAAAACGTTCACGTCGTAAAACTCATTTCAGTTTACTAAAATTATTTAAATAAAAAGACAAATTTCTTCACTTATTAGAGTTGTCCCATTCCCAATTGTCTTTGCATTTATTACAACAGTAACATACAGTTGTAAAATGCAAATGTTTGGGCTTCTCTGGTCAAATGACATATTTTGTTGATTTTCTAAGTGAAAATAAGTTAATACATCATCTCCATTTTAAAGTGCTTCTAAAAAAAAGTGCAAAATTAAAAATAAATGTTAGCATATATCCAATCACCTTTGTTTACTTGTTTGCTTTGCTTCTTATCATTGCCACAACAGGTGTAACTTTATATTGTAAGCATACGTCAATTACTATATTGATGCTGAAGGCTGATGTTTTGTATTTTGATTACAATGTAATCCAATTAATAGTATCTGAATGCATTACTTAGCATCCTGTAAAAAGGGATCAAGTCTGCCACCAATTTCAGAACATTGCATTCACTGAACCAAGTCACAGAAAAATGAAGTGATGGATGAGTTGATCATTTTCCAATGATAGCAAGATGATTGAGTGGTATGAGGCTCGTGTTCAGAAGAAGCGATTCAGCCATCTTCCAGGCCTGTGTTATCCCCCTGGTCTTCAGCACTATCCTCGTCGCTGTAAATATCTTTCACTTTAGCGCTGGAATTAGCAGGAGCAGTCTTACTTCTCTCTCTGTTCTTGTCAAACTTTGTGTTTGTTGCTTCCGATTTTACTGAAAGAAAATAAGAAAAATCATTTGTTTCACTAACTGCCCAAACTCCATTCCTTAAGCCAACAAGAAAACACATATTTTATACCATGCTGATTTTTTGTTTCTTCTATTTTTTGCACGTTTTTACATATAATTGTTTCACATTTTCGAACTGAGTAAACACAAAATACTGTTTTTAACAGATCATTGCATTTATTAAAGGAAAAAAGTTATCCAACACCAACTAGCCATGTGTGAAAAAGCCCCCTTCAGTTATTCAATCAACCAATTAACCTAATTTTGGATTAATTTAATTAAACACACACAGACCTCATTAATCTCAGTCATGTTGAATCTAAACATCACTTAAATAGAATTAAATTACCTTGCCAGCAATGTGAAGTAGGCTAAAAACATATCTGAAACATATTAGTCTTGAAGGGGTTACAAAGTCGTTTCTAAGGCTCTAGGACTCCAGCAAACCACAGTGAGAGCCTTTACCTTCAAGTGGAAAAAACTTGGAACACTGGTGAATCTGTCCACCAAAATTTATCCAAGAGTGTAGCGACAACTCATTAAGGAAATCATAAAACAACCCAGAGAAACATCTCAGCAACTGCAGGCCTTGCTCACCATTCATGATTCCACCGTTAGAAAGAAACTAGGCAAAAATGGTTTCCATGGGAAAGTTGCAAGGCAAAAACTACTGCTAACCAAGAGGCCATGAGGTCTCTTTGCCAAAAAACATGTACTTTTTTTGAAATAATGTTCTATAGACTGATGAGTCTAAAGTGGAACTTTTTGGAAGACTGGGGTTCTGTTACATCTGGCATAAAACTAACTAGGGCTGCATGATACTGACATAACATGCAATGTTCAAAGAAGCTGTCAGATATCACCATGACGATATGAGAAGCCATAAATTATCATTAAAATAATGTGTCTCTGGCTGGATGTAATGCAAGTGCAGGCATTTTTTTGGGGATGAGTACCTAACCTCTCTTTAAACCTCTCTTTAAACAAATAGCAAAATACAAAATTACAAAAGCACCATTTAGTATTCTGCAAAATAAAAAGATTTTTTTTTAATGTAGGCATGTTCTCCTTGTCTTATATTACATTTTGTATGAGGATCCAAAGTCATGTGTTGTGATAAATATGCACAAATAGAGGATATCAAGAGAGGGTAAAAATGTTTCATGCCACCCTACAACTTCTTCATTTTTTCTTCTTTTTTCTTTTACATTTTGTTTTTGTACTATTGTTAAGTACTTTTAGTAATAAAACCTGTAATACAATAAAATAAAAATGTTTTACCTCTATGACCCTTGACACCACATAATTTTCAGTGACTACAATGCAGATGTAAGGCTGGCTTGAAATCTACATGAAACTAAATTGCACTTGAACTGTTTAACGTAAAGCGTCCCGCAACTCATTTGAAACTCCTGGTGTCGGAAACTGGCAAACACCAATTTTCCTACTTGTTAACTGCCTTTGAATAGTCGACAAAGCTGTAATTACAAGTCGGAAACTGTGGATTCTAGATGATACATGAGTTTACAGGATGTGACATATAACGCGACCTTTCACCTCTTCCGCCCCTGAAAAACTATAAACTTAGTGACTATATACCTGATGCACTTCTCTGTGCTTTTTTTAATATACCAATGAAAAAGCAGAATACCTTTTTCCAGACCTCCTTGCTTTCTATCTCCACATGGTTATACATGGAGTATTTTTGAACACGCATTTTCTAGCATTTACTTCGTATTTACTAGTTAATTATCTGATACGTACAACACTCCGACGAAGAGCCGAACGCACGCCGAACGACATATACGATTGATTTCACCGGATCGATGGACAAGAAAATAAAACAAAGACGGTTTATTAGGCAGTTGAAAATGAGACCCCCTGACTGACTTTATGCAAGGTTGGGAGTTTTTTATTTTGTTAGTTTCCGGAGCCATGACACCAAACTCGAGTTTCCAGAAGCTAACGTTTCTGTACCCAGCTAGTTTAACTAGCCAACTAACGCTAACAACTGTTTTGTAACGGCTGCTTGTGCCATCGTCTATGCTTCGTTAGCTCGCTGTGATTGTGATCTGCAAAGCTACATTTGTTGTCTCCTCTCTTGACACCTCCTAAACTTTGCACAGTGATTTATTTGGGATCCAAATGATGAAATTATTACAGAAGAGGAACATTAAAACCACTTCCTTGTTTCTAATCTCTTTGTCCATTTTTTTCAGCTCCACTTACCATACAGATGGATTTTGTATTTCTGCAATTGCAGACTGTAGTCCGTCTGTTTATCTGCATACTCAGCCCCCTTTTACCTTGTTCTTCCAATGGTCAGGACCCCCGCAGGACCATCACAGAGAAGGTGTTATTTGACTGGTGGATCATTCTCAGTGATGTGGTGGTGGCGTGTCAGTTTGTGTTGTGCTGGTATAAGTGGATTAAACACAGCAGTACTGCTGGAGTTTTTAAACACTGTGCCCACTCACTGTCCACTCTATCTTGTTGGTCCATCTTGTAGATGTTAAGTCAGAGACTCTTTTGCTGCACAGTTTGTGTTGGTCATTAGTCCTTCATCAGTGGTCACAGGACGCTGTTGGCTGCATATTTTAGGTTGGTGGACTATTCTCAGTCCATCAGTGACACTGAGGTGTTTAAAATCTTCAGCAACGCAGCTGTGTCTGATCCTCTCATACCAGCGCAACACACTAACATGCCGCTACGATGTCAGGGTCACTGCAGTGCTAAGAATGATTCACCACCCAAATAATACCTGCTCTGTGAGGGATCCTGACGATTGAAGAACAGGGTAAAAGTATGCAGAGAAGCAGATAGACTGCTTATATAAGTGTAGCTGATAAAATGAACAGTCAGTGTAGATAGAAGGAGTTGTACTTAATGAAGTGGCCAGTCAAGAACTTTAGATGCTTGAGTAAGCAGTGGCTTATTATTCTGGAAACCCCCTTCACTTTTTTAATAAGAATGATTTTTTAACAACGAAAATAAATCTGAAATATTTTCATGTGCAAAATAGCAAAAACAAAACTGAATAAATGTCTGCCAGTACTGCTTTCTATAACCAGCCCTCCAGGCCAGGCAAAAACTAAATGTTGCTGAATGCTGCTTTACGTGTTTCTACAAGGCTGCAGTTGCCTTCTTCAGCAGCTTTTTGTTCTAATTTTTCATTCCACCTTAAATGGAGCAGATGTACAGGTGTCTGAATGTACATGCTGCATCATTTAAGGTGGAACAGGAATTTGGCATAAGAAGGCAATCTGAACAGCTATCAGTACTAGCTGTTTCAAGGCTTGTTTCGCACACAAGGCCCGAGATTGTGGCCTTGTCTGATGCAGCTGGCTGAGTTTCTCAGGTGGTACAGTGTGGCAGTTGGTGTCCTTGTTAAGCTAAGGCTAGTCCTTTATGTCTACTTCCTTGACAATAACAAAGTGGACTACTTCAGATGAAACTACTAGACAGCAAAATTTGATTGAGACTGCTGCTTTTTTTGTAACTGAAAGAAACTTGACTGAAACATCCATGGCGGAGCTGAACAGGATAATGTTATGCTATGTGTGGTTTGCACTGTTTGTGTGTTGCGTTATCTCTGTCCACTGCATGTTCCTTTAGATACGTTATAAAGGAGGGGAGAAGTAGCCTGTGGGTGGGAACCAGTTGCTAAATTGGGGAGGAACTAAGTAAAAATCCACCCATAATATAAGCGCTTTCAGCACACAAGGAGGCAACCACATTCACTGGTTTCTTCTAGGTAGGCCTAATATAGATGCAGTACTAAAAATGTAAGTTAGGAGAACTGACTAAACTAAGTTGAAAAAAACTTTAAAAAGCTATGATGGTTAACTTAATTTCAACCTGACTTTTAATTTTTTACAAAGAAAAATGTAAAAAAAAACTACAACAGCTTAATCCCACCAGTAGCTATACTGTACTATTAAAGTTAATACAAATTTGCAAATGGCAAAATTGTTCTAAAAAATGGCAAGCAGCAGTAGTGAAGGTAAACAAACCTGATCATGTCTATGCAAACCCTGATTCTGATCCCATGATACAAGTCAACAACAGATTCCTCCCAAGTTAGACAGGTAAGAACACAAATTAGTTAACTGGTTGGCTACTTGGGTGATCTGAATATCATATCAGGCTGATTACACTGTCTGGGTTAGATCAGGTGAAATGAAGGAGTCACAATGAAAATTGGTGAGAATTGTGTTCTCATGTGGAGAACATCAACACTAGAGGGCATCAGCACACTTACTGAAATATACTGTAAAAATTACTGGCTCTGAGCTGCACTTTCTTGCCAGTGCTGACAACTGGGCAAACCCTCTGATGGCAACTTTATTATACAAATCAAGTATAGCATACATAAAGTTGAAACAATACTGTCACAGACTTAAAGAAATAATCCATCGTAGTTACTTAAAAATATTTTTAAAAATGTTTTTGGTGTTTTTTGTGTTCAATGTGTGATTCTAAGGTTACAGTGCAAAAATTACCTCCCACAGGGTTTTATGGGGCACAGAACAAGACAGCAAGAATGCTGTTAGAAATTATACCACTAATAAAGCAACACAAAATTTAACCGCTATTTCAATTTAATATGCTCTGTGAGGGTTCATGGTTCTGTGTACACTCTTAAAAAAGATGGTTCTTCAGGGGTTCTTTAGCAAAGACAATAGTTCAGTATAGAACCAAGGACAGTCAAAGAACGCTTTGCATTTTTCAATTGTTATTTGCATCATGAAAAGGTTTTGATTGATGGAGAATGTGTTAGATATGGTTCTGTATAGAACAGTGATTGGCGACCGAACGTTCTTCTGCTCATATAGAACCTTTTTTAAAAAGGTTCTATACAGAACCATCTACAGCATACAACTGAACTCTGTGTTACTGCGCCATGGCATGAAAAAACCTTCTGCTGTTAATGGATTAATCTTTGTAATGCTGATTACACAGAGCACCAAGTGTACTGATGAAGTAAGAACCCATTTTTGTTTAAACTGAGGGGCTGAAAACTTATTTTTCTCAACTAGAACTAGGCTGGTCAGCTAGCCAACAGGCTAAAAGATAGGAATCATGCTAAACAACACCAACATTAATATCACAGGCTTGAACTGAAGTACTCACAATATGATTCACTGAAAAACGGCCATTTAAAAGTCTAAAGAATGTCACCTGGATGGCTTACACGCTTCAAATGTCCATGTTTTAGTCAGAAGTAGCATCAAACCCAGGCTGAATTCCAAACTCCATACTCCCTAGCTAAATAGTGTGCTGTGTAACATTAAGTTTAGAAATTCTAGCTTCTGCTGTCAAATAGTGCACTGCTTGTCGAGTATCAATGTGGATGATTCCCAAATGACCATTTTTAGGGATATTTGCATTGTTGGGGTGCAGGAGTCAGTATTTAAATTCCTACGTAGTGCACTATGTAGGGAGCAGGGAGCCGTTTGAGATTCAGCCCCAGCATGAGAAAAGTGGCATCGTCAGACTGGCAGAGGAAGACTCGCAGTAGTAATTTGGTGATCAAAAAGTACTTATAAACTGAAAGTATTTGCATTAAACAGTGCTATGTTACGTATGTTCACTGTTATCCAAAAAATTGTAAAAAATTTGTAAAAAGTGATTGGCGACTGAACGTTCTTCTGCTCCTTCAGCGGTCAGTGGTTGCTTAGCAACAATACCTCACTGTAAAGGAATTATATTCATTGGTGGAATACTTTTTTAATGTTGATTATTATTAATAATAACTTAAATAATTATCTAAAACATTGTGTATTTTAATATATTTTATGTTGGCCGCTGTTTTATAAAAGCAGTAAGCCACTTGAGGCAGTGCGTTACTTTTTTTAAAGAACACCCTTCTCCGTAATGAAATCGCAGTAACCCATGGCCTCATGTGGCTTATTGCTTTAATGTTATGCAAAACACATTCGGGGAATGCATTAAAATACTCATTAAATTAAATATTAAATTGCTGTAATTCGTTATTAAATGTCCATAATAGCTAAATGTATTGGAGAATATGTACTTTTTATATTTTGTTCAGTATTGCATTTTTAAAAATGTAATCTTTCAATATTTTTAAAAAGTTATTTTTTCATAATTTAGGTTTCATGTAGTATTACTGCATACACATTAATTTCTGCATGCAGTATTTGAAGCTACACCATGAGTTTAATCCATTTCATAAGCCTTTTTTATCCTGTATTTTCTCAAAAGGAATTGATTTTATTTCCTCAAACTTTTGTCTGAATAAAAGCTGCTGTATCTTATTAACATATAAAGATATGTGGTTTAATAATTTAAACGTTAGGTATTTGAATAAGAAGCACACAATGAATTCCCAAATAATGTGTCATATTAATAAATTATATTGTATAACGTGTTGTCCTTTCTTCAAAGATCATACAGTTGTATGCAAAAGTTTGGGCGCCTCTGGTCAAATTACATGGTTTGTTGATTTTCTTAGTGAAAATAAACACACATTATCTATAGAGAACACACTTCTGCACATTTCTAACCCACAATTACTGTTTATTTGCTGAATTTAACACAGTGGGGGGAAAAATACAAAATGTGGCTTGTGCAAAATTCATGGCACATTTTATATGTTTTATTTTTTTTTTTTTACAATATATTAAACTCTAAAATTTGCAGAAAAATGTTATATTTAAGTTCGTTCCCTGTCAAGGATGTGACTTATTTTCACTTTGAAAATCAGCAAAACATATTTGACAGGGGTGTTAAAATGTTTCATTCGACCGTGTTCTTGTATTTCTCATTGTTGGGGGATTTATTATACACAGAATCTCTTAAGGAGGTAACAAATATCCTGCCCTGCTGGCCATCAAAAAAATGGAATTCCAGTGCTTTTCTATTTAGAGTTTTACTGTTTGTTCAGAGACCTGGTCAAACACCTCATGTTAAAAAATAGTAAACCATGAAGTGGTCATAGTACATTTTTTTATATGTTAATTAAACATGTGCTTTTAAATAAGTGTAGCTTGAAATACTGAATGCGGAAATGAATATTTCTAATTGCCAGAAATCTAGAAATACGACCTATATTTTGCTACATATATTAATGCAAATAAATTATTATTAATACAAATATTAAAATAGCAAATTTTGAATAATTTGAGATAAACAGTTCATCGTCTAATAAATGAAGCTCTTATGGTCATTTATTAACATGAAACCAGTTCATATAAAGTGAAATATTATTCCTAGTGTTGTAATTATACTCTCATATTCTCATGCTGTAAGCAGTTAAACTTACAGAAAAACAAATTTAAAGAAATATAAAATATTTAAAGAAACTATTGTAAAAGGCAACTTAAAATACAAATTCAAGTCCAGAAAAGTTTGGACAGTAGGTAAAATGTGAACAAAACAGAAAGCAGTGATGATTTGTAAACTGTCTCTTGCATGTATTTGAAAACAACACAAAGAAGAGATATTTAATATTCTACCTTATTAATGTTATTGATTATTGTAAATATACGCTAAATCAAAATTTGATGCCTGCAACATCTTCCAAAAAGTTGGAACGGGGCAGTGCAAGACTGAAAAGTTTGTGAACTGATCAAAAACACCTGTTTTGGAACTTTCCACAGATCCATCCATCCATCCATCATCTAACCCGCTTATCCTTCTGCGTCGCAGTACTTTCCACAGGTAAACAGGTAAATAGGTAAACAGGTAAAAAGGTAAACAGATGAATAAGTAACAAATGATGCTATCATGATCAGATATAAAAGGAGGTCCCCCACTTCAGACAATGTTACTCAGTGTATGACTGCAAGGAATTTAGGGATTTCACCATCTACAGTCCATAACATTATTAAACGATTCAGAGAATCTGGAGAAATCTCTGTGCATAAAAGGCAAGGCCAAAATCTATTATTGAATGGCTGTGACATTTGATCCCTCTGACAGCACTGCATTAAAATTCTTTAATGAATATAACCATATGGACTTGATAATGCTTTGGAAAACCTTAGTCAGTGACCATAGCTTATCGCTGCATCTACAAATGCAAGTTGTGTGACTACACAAAGCAGAAGCCATATATCAATATCCATATATATCAACACACACATTCCGCTGATTTCTCTGGGTTAAAGCTCATCTGAGATGGGCCAAAGACAATGCAAGGCCACACTGCACAGACTGCCTGCAGTCCAAACCTGTCTCCCATTGAAAACATGCGCAGCATAGTCTATGACAACGAACACTCCATACTGTTGAGCAGCAGAAGTGTTTGCAAGCAAGAATGGGAAAACAAATCCACTTTCACAACTGCAATAACTGTGGCATCAGTTCCCAAATGATTACTGAACATTGTTAAAAGTAAAGGTGATGTAACACAGTGGTAAACATGCCCCATTTTATTTTTTGAACATGTTGCAGGCATCACATTTAGAATCATTGTATACATGCAAAAAACAAGGTTAATTAGTTAAACCATATAGGTTAGAAAATTTGTAAAATAACTTGTCTTCAATTTTCAGTTGAATAGAGGTCAAAAAGGATTTGCAAATCACTGCTTTCTGGTTTTTTTTTTTGCATTTTACCGGCTGGCCCAACTTCCGTGAAATTGGGTTTGTATGTGTTGAAAAGAAAACACTCATGTTTGAGGAACTTTACATTTTCTTTCAGTGTGAATTTTGTCTTACGTTCTAGATTTAAATGATCAGCACAGTCTGCCTCGCTGCCTCCGACTGCATCGTTGTCCTCTTGGTGGATTTCTACTATCCGTTGTCTTGCACTCTCAAAGACTGACTTCAGGACAATGGAATCCTCAAAGATCTGAGAAAGAGGTTAGATATTACACTTACTAAGCAAGACTCGTCTCTAGAAAGTTTAGAGAAATTAATATTCAAATAAGTCTAACTTTTAGTGGCCCAAGAATAGGTACTTGAGGCCCACCTGAGATCCCTCCAGGTTGTAAGTTTGAGCATTGTGGCACATCTGTATTATATCTTTCTCCAAGTCTGCAATGCACCTGTACTTGTGGTTGCGCACTCTTTCCTGCACAAATAAAATGCATGTTAGAAACAAATGCAACGTAACAAGTGCAATATAGGAAGTTCACATTTAAAACTAATCTATGTGGTGTCATACAATCACAAAGAAACAAAATTAGCATGAAAACACAATCACACTTCTATTGATTTATGATTACATCTGCTTTTTCAAACAGTGGAGGGTGACAGAAAGGTAGATAAGGTGGGGGGGTATGAACAGTGAAGATGAAGAAATGGATCAGTTGAGAAATTAATAGACTGGAGAGTGGCATGCAAAAGTGAATGATCACAATGACAAATTTGAGGATAGAATACAATACTTCAGTTTACCCTGATCCTTCGGAAGTCCACAGGCTTGCGAATAAGCTCATAGTATTCTGGTACCTCTTTCCTTGAAGGCAGCTGAACAAACCCTTTACTGATCTGACGGCCCAACCTGCCGGAGAGTAAGAAATTAGAACACAACAATTGGCTCAGTATGTTACGGCTCAGTATGCTCCTACAACATTATAAATTTGCATTATCTAAGGCGTATAAAATGTATCATTCTTAAAAATAGAGGTGCCAAAAAGAGTTCTTTGTCTCAATAGTACAACCACTTTAGACTCCCTAAAGTGCGTATTTCTTTAAACAACAATTTTTGTAAATGAGATGTATGTGAAGAACCATTTTTAAAGTTTAAAGAATCTTCTAATTGTGTAAGAATACTATACCATTTTTTTCTGAAAACCATACCCCCAAGCTTAGCAGCATATAGGAGCCTTTATTTTCAAGAGTACTTGCCCTTACTAAGGTCAAGTCTTTAAGAACATTTGTAGCATCCTACTTCAGAACACTTACGTGTCTTTGTAGTTCATGACCATGTCAACAAGTGTGTTCATTTGCTTGGTGAGTTTCGGGGGATTTGGTGGTAGCTTCTCGGCCGGAGGCCGACCCCGTCGCTTTTTGACCTTCTCAACGACCTCCTGCCCGGTCTCAGAGGCCTGGTTGCCCTGGTGATCACTTTTTCGTTTCTTCAAACTACTTTCCTCCTCCATATCCTCAGACGCTCCGTTTTGGACGGCCTGAGACTGCAGAGAAAATAATCCAAGAGAATAATAAAGAATGATAAAGGATTTGGGAATAATTGGGATTAGAGGGGATTGGAATGTAATTACGGATAAGTTGAAGCCCATGATGAATTTGAAAAGCTGTGAATAATTTGGAATTATGCGTATAGCATTTTAAGATTAGCGAATAATAGAGCATCTACACTTTGCACACCTGTGCCGGCAGGAACACTGATCTGCGACTCACTTGACATGAGCCATCAAAATGGGTTTCTTAGCATAGCTTTGAATGAGGGTGAAACCCTTGAATCAGGGTCAGTGGTTCACAGTAGACTACAATGATACTAGCATAAAGGTTCTGCTAAACTTTGTTTTAAAAGTACATTGTTCAGCCGCTTACACAAACATTTATAATGTAAGTACTGCTGTTATCATATCTCATAGCCTCCAACTGCATCGTTGTCCTGTGGTTGATTTCTGATACCATTGTCTTGCATAGATAGAACATACCTTCATATGGAATTTCATTTAAGAACTTTCATAAGAGTCATTATATCCTAGGGTTTGCTACTCATCAATTCATCAATCTACAAGCAACGTAACCATTGCTATTGCATCTGCTGTTGTTTTAGGCAGTGCTCAAATTACTGGGAAGCCGGGGGGAGCTTAACTCCCCCAAACAAGATTTGAGCTCCCTTGAAAACAATAAAAACAGAAGTTTGAGAGATCATTTACGTGGCAGTCATACTCCAGTCTAGCTCTTCTGCCACCTTCTGTCCTGGCTCTTCTCCAACAAGTCCAGAAATTCCAAGCTCATTCCAGAGCTTCTTCATTTCTGCCCTGTGGTTTTACATGCATAAAAGTAGGAAAACTGCAACTATTTGCATGTTTGAGTTTGTATGGGTGTGATAATTGGTATGTGTTGTAATGTTAGTTAATGCTAAATAAATCCAAGCACATCTTGAAGAGACCCCCACCCCCCGCATCCCCCCCAAAAACCCAGAGTGTACTTCGAACACTATTTATGTTGCCAACTGAGATGCTTTTAAAATCATGAATTTTTCATCATCTCACTGTTATTTTCTGACTCTTGAGGAGTCTGTCTTGCAAAAAGATCCTATTTCTCAGTGGGCTTAGCTACACCTGTTCAACCTTTAATACATGTTTAATAAAAGGCAAGTGTTAGATATCAAATGAAGATGTTCTCATGTTCTCTCTGCTTGTGAGCTACTTACAGCTGCAACTTCATTTCAGTAATCAGTGACTGCTCTGCTTTGTCGCAAATCTGGCTCAAAAAATATAAATTAAGCATTCTTCAGTCAGTTGTAATATGTATACCTTTTGGCAAATACACAAGTACTGTGCAAAAGTCAGCGACTAGCCTTTTAAGTTATTCAGTTTATTCAACTTCCATTCAAAACGGCTATTAAGTACAAGTGTCTAAAAACAACAAATAGGAAGAAGATGCACCCAAAGTTGTCACTAATATCATGTTACCCCTCAAAAAGACACAACATTCACACAAGCATCTACCTCAAAACAGCTGCCATGCAGATTTCTTTCTCATGCATCTACAATGGCTAAAGATGTGTGAGGAGATCAGATGTAAGATAATCCACTTGCATACGAAAGATAAATAAGTGAAAACAAACAGAAGTTTACAAAAAGCTGGAGATCAAAAACAGTTGCCCAAAAACAGTCTGAAACGGGATATCTGAGATTTGGAGTAAGGTTTTAAGCTGTTACAAAAGTTAAGGGTGGACATACTACGTATTGAAAAATTTGATATTTAATTGTTGAGGTTTCTGAGTAACTTTTTTGTTAAATATGTTTTCTACTTTTCTCCTGGTGTCTCCTCTGTCTTGACTGGAAATTAAATAAATAAAGGGGTGGTTTCTGACTTTTGCACAGTATAGTATACTGAAGGGTCTGAGGAAAGTATTTTGTCTGATTCAAACATGTACATCAGTTGCACATAAAATATATTACAACACACATTGAAATTGTGCAGATGCAATATATTCTATGCATTTTGATGTACACATTTGAATCAAGTAAATTCAGTGTGTCAGTTTTTTCAGTGATTAAGCAAGTGTTACTAATTTGTTCTAGAATATAAGCAAAGAGCAGTACTTGGAAAGATGTGTATACCTGCACATTCCATTTCACGGACATACAGGCATGTGAAAATAGATCAATGAAGATCAAAGCCTCTGCTTGTCTTAGCATGCTTCACTAAGCAAGCAGCCTTAAAAGGCCCCCAAACCCCTGTAGTATGAGTGACTGCTTTCACTTTCAGTTAATATTTGATAAAGCAGCACTTCCTAATATCCCGCAGGCTTTAAATGATCTCTCGCAGAAGAGCATTAAAGGAATGCTCTAGCATTTCTCATCCTAATCTCCATCTGCTGCATTTGTAGTATACTGTCGATTACCATACACAACCATTTCAACACGATACCCTGTACTTAGGAAGGAACAGAAAATCCTTTGACTCAAAAGTATATTTATAATAGAAGCCAACGGGCAGATGCTCAAGTGTCTATTGAGTAAACAGGTTTCCTTTTCATGATCACGCCACAGCAACTTGCCTAGGGCCTGTCCATGAAAAAGTTCAAGCAAAACTTCATTTTATACAACCATGCAGATTTCAAAGCTGTCAGAGCACTTCTGTTATTTGTTTACATGTTACACATAACTGTCCTTATGCAGGAAAAAGTTTGTGAGACAAAAAATTGTAAGAAAATATGGGTCTGAAAAAATTTCCTGTTTAGTTGTAAAGCCATTTTGAACCCATGATAAACCTTTAAATTCTGCATTAGAAACATATAATTCATAGATTTGCTAGAAATGTAGGACTACTACAAAAAAACTGACTAAAAAATTACATTTCAAAGCTTATTATTGCATCTAAAAAAAGCTTAAAAGCGTGCATTCTCCAATAAATGAACCTGTTGGGGCATTTCTTAGCACAAACCCAGTTTCAAAAAAGTTGAGACAGAATGTGAAATGCTAATAAAAAAGAAAGCAGTGATTGGTAAATTCTGTTTGTCCTGTATTCAATTGAAAATGTTATAAAATACTTTACCCTAAATACGCACTTTAGGGAGTCTTGTTTTTTCATTTGATGCTTCCAAGACATTCCTTTGTTTGGCGACTGAAAACACAAATTGATCATGTTTGAAAGTAGATTGTTTTGCCATTCTTCTGTTGTTCAAGTCTTCGGCTGCACAGCAATAGAGTGCTTTTGTTGTCATATTTTTAGCTTAATAAGACAAGTTTTCAATGGTTGACAGTTCTGGACTGCAGACAGGCCAGCTAGCATTTGCACTCTTTTATTACACAACACAGGAATGTAGCTTAGTGTTGTCATGTTGAAATAAGCATGAGTTTCCTTAAAAAAGACGGCACCTAAATATTGCTCCAAAATGTGTTCAGCATTAATGCTGTACAGAGGGTTACCCACTATACCCCCCATACTATGACAGACAGTGGCTTTTGAACTTTACACTGGTCACAGTCTGGGTGGTCCTTTTCTTCTTTGGCCCAGAGAACACAATGTCAATTATTTCCAGTAACAATCTGAAAGGTTCACTTGGCAGACCACAATACAAGTTTCCTTTGTGCACAAGTCCATTTCAGCTGAACTTGAGCCCAGAGAAGTCGGTAGCGTTTCTGGACATTGTTAACATATGGCTTACACTATGCACAGTCTCACATTTGCATGTGTGGATGCAGCAATGGACGGTATTTCTTGACAGCATTTTTTCAAAGTATTCTTAAGCCAACACGGTGATATCCATCAAGGAAACATGCTAGTTTTTTTAATGCAGTGCCGTCTGAAGGTCATGGGCATTAACTTGTGTTTTTCAGCCTTGTTCTATATGCACAGAGATTTCTCCGGATTCCCTGAATCTTGATGATATTATGCACTGTAGAGGGTGAAACACCTAAAATCCTTGCAATCCCTGGCTGAATAACTATTTGAACTATCTGAATTATTTTTAAACTGTTGAATTGTTTGCTGATGCATTTTTGGCAAAGTGATGAGCCTTGACCCATCCTCATTCACAAAGATCTAGGCCTTTTCTGGATGCTCCTTCTATACCCAAGCATGATTGCATCACCTGTTTAAGATGTTTTTTAACATTTCACAAGTTTGAAACTGCCCTTGACCCAACTTTTTTGGAACATGTTGCATCAATTTCAGGAGGAGTGTGTATTTACAAAAAAAAGTTGATGTATTTTATTTTATTTTATATACAGGTCAAAGTAAATTTACAAATCACTGCTATCTGTTTTTATTTGCATTTTCTCTACTGTCTCAACATTTTTGGAATTGGGTTTGTAGTTAAAATATTATATATATTACAAATATTGTGAGTGTTGTATTTATACCCACTTAATATTTCAGCTCAGTTCAGTCATTTTTTAAGTGGTCAAAGTCAGTATTTAAAATGCAATAGGACAAAGTTTCATAAATTAAAGTTTATTAAAGTTAAAGTTTCAAAATTCAAAAACAATTGGAGCACAGCTTTGAAATTTTTGCATTCTTGCTTAAAATAAATTGTAGTTTTTGCTTATTTTTTCTCATTGAAATCCATCAGGTCAACAGGGCCTGGACAGGCCGAATGACCCTTATTCTTTTTTATGCAAACTTACAGTGTAAGAATTAGTGTACGGAATTAAAGGGTGAACATTGATCCCATAAATGCAGAGAAATTATTTCATGTGGCTATTGACTGTATGCTGCAGACAGACAGAAACAGATACACATAAAGATAAAGGTTGAAAATGCTGCAGCGTTCATTTAAGATGTTATCTGTATTTCACAGCAGGTAGCAAATAGGTACACTGAGCATTACTGGAAAGCTTCTTGTTGCCCTAGAATGTTTAAAAAATTGGAGTTATGATATTTAGCCAGTGCTTCCCAATGATTGTCAGCTTATTAGCTGTGTTCAGGTAAACATGAAAGGAACCTTTCTCTTATTGGCTAGCACAGTCTAGAGGCTGTCGTCTTTGCCTGTGTTTCCCTTTTTGGCTTATGTGTCTACAGAAGACGGCAGGGGCTGGTGGCATTCTGTGTGAGCCTTTGCTGCTGAGACTGTTTTACACAAAGGCAATTAAAGTGCAGTGATATGCATGCCGCAGCCCCTCTTCTTCTGGCAGGGAGAAGCATGAGAGAGGGAAGAAAATATGAATTCTAAATAAGCCGCTATGCAGGCAGTGCCAGCTATTGATGTCTAAATCACACACACACACACACACACACACACACACACACACACACAGAAACAGTGCAAACATGAAAGAAGAGGCACATCAAGGCATGCACATGCAACACATACATTTGCTGCCCTCAGGGTAGGCCTAATAATGAGAAGCATTATAATGAAATGCAGGCATGCATATGCACAAACATGCACATTCACAGTAATGCAGGGGATCCTGCATGGGAGCAGCAGTCGACCCGAAAACAGAAAAGAGGAAAAAATGCTGTGTTTATAAATGCAATATAACGCAATGCAATTATGCAATAGACTAGCATTGTATTAACATCAGCCAGACAAGCAGGAGTATGCGTCTGTGCGCGCGTGCACGCGTCTGTCTGCCTGCATGCGTGTGCCGTGTGCTGTCCTTGTAACCTCTAGAAAAAAAAAACAGAAGTGTCACGAGCCGTTCGTCTGGGCAATGTTCCCCACTCATCAGACACAGCTCACACCTACACTCTCTCTCACACACACACTCTCACTCTCTCTCTCTCTCTCTCTCTCTCCATTTGTTTGACCGTGCCTGGCATGATACCGCATGCTCCGTTCGTTCGTTCGCGGGATGGAAGGAGAGAGAGAACGAGGGAGGAAGGAAGAGAGTGAGAGAGAGAAGGGAGAGAGAAAGTGATGGTGAGAAGAAGGATAGGAAATGAAGGCGAAGGAAAATGTATCCTTTTGTTTTTTTTACCTGACTGTGGTCTCCAGGCTGGCGCTTGTCTGGAGGCGAGAGAATTAGCAGCCCAGCATTGCAGCGCGCGCTCAGTCTCTTCATCAGCTGATCAACTCACAACGCGCCGGCGGAGAGGGGGGCGAAAAAAAGCGCCCAGCTTTTCATACACAAATCAATTGGCGTTGGGATGATGAGAGAGGGAGAGAGGGAGCGAGGAGAAAGCGAGGGAGAGAGAGAGAGAGAGAGAGGCAGAAAGAGAAGGAGAGCAGAATTGCCGTGAAGTGCCTTTCTCTCAGATTGTCCCCTGTGGAAAGGCCTCGAGCCTCGGCTCCCTCTCCCTCTCTTTCTTTCTCTATGTCTCTCTCCCTCTCTTTCTCGCTCACTGCATGTTTTAATATCGACTGTCGCAATCTGATTTCTTTCTGTTTTTTTCATCCTCGCCCTCTCCCTCACTCTCTCTCCCGTACCCGTTCCCGCTCCCTCTTTTTCTTTAACAGTAGTAGGCTCTTTTTTTCTATGTGTTTCGCAGATAGTGTCCATGAAAGTTGCTTAATGGTCATTCTGGGGTCAGTTGGCTGTGTCAGAGCATCTCTATGCTCAGTGCCCGCGGCTGGGCGTTTACGTCACATCACAAATGGCTTGGAAATCATATCTGATGACTGTAACAAACACGTTGCTCCTCCCTAACCTTTCTGTGCACTCGATGGCATCAGGTTGAGACCACGTCCCAGCTGGCAAATACCCTCCCTCATTCCCACGATGAGACTTTCATTCATGATGCATTTTGTCAATGAGTGGACGCCACTGGACAACTCGGTCTGCGCTGCGAGACTTTTCCCAAGGTCACATGAACGCATGGCCGTGGCTTTCTGAGTTATGTTAGCGTGTCAGTTGGTACATATTACAGCACGTATAATCAATAAGGGAGACCGTCTGTGCTGTTTAACAAGCCTATTCCTGAACAGAAAGCGCGCATATCTCAGTGATTGACTGACAGAGATCACCCTGTCAGGACCGTCATTTTCCTCGATGTGGGCGGGGCCATTTGGGACGAGCCAATCAGGAGCATTGGCAGCCTCTGCGCTTTGTTTGTAAACATTCAACCGCACATTCAGAAAAGCCAAAACAGAGCTAGACTTTATAGAGCAGACTCGCTGACACTATGGGCCAGTTTTCCAGACCCAGATTAAGTCTATGGCTAAACCACATTGGATTTTTAATTGTCATTGTAATTTAGTCCTTAATCCATGTCCACAAAACCAGCCCTGTGATGTATGTCCAAAAGACCGCTGGCATTAAGTAGCCGAGCCTTGTTTGGCGTGCCACTCCACCCACTAGCATCTAGCCTAAATGTTACGTTAGGCTACACTCTTAAAAAATGGTTCTTCAAGGGTTCTTTAGTAAAGGCAGTGGTCCTACATGGAACAGTGAACACTCAAAGAGCTATTTGCATGCTTAAATGGCTCTTTGCATGGTGAAATGGAGAATGTGGTGTATGTGGTTCTATATAGCACCAAAAAAAAGGTTCTGCTATTGTTTTGATGTCAAGCTTGTAATGAGAAGAATCATTTTCGTTGCTATATAGAACCATTTTCAAAACTTTGCATGTTCTCCCCATGTCTGCATGGGTTTCCTCCCACAGTCCAAAGACATGCAGTCAGGTCAATTGGAGATGCTAAATTGCCCACAGGTGTGAGCGTGTGTCTGCCCTGCGATGGACTGGCAGCCTGTCCAGGGTGTTTCCTGCCTTCCGCCCAGTGACCGCTGGGATAGGCTCCAGTGCCCCATGACCCAGGAGGATAAACAGCTTAGAAGATGAATGAATGAATGTTCAGATAATAAAGGATCTGTTTGAGAACCAGACCATGAAAACCATCTTGTGGCTGAATGCAGTCATATCCTCACAGTAATGTTCCAACATCTAGTGAAAAGCTTTCTTAGGTAAGTGGAGGCTGTTACTGCAGCGAAGATCCTATTAATAGCCACAGATTACAACTGTATCTGTGTGAAGGCATCCCTGTCTAGAACATGCATCATTTCACTCCAAAAGTGGATCTCAGCCAAGTCTGATGATGATGTCATACCATTTCTTCCATATGATTGATTCACTGTTTGCCATTTGGAAAGACCAATTCAAAAACAAACCCAGAATCAGCACCTGCTTAGAGTACATATGTAGTACTGGTAATTATGTTAATGACAACTGACTAACAGTCAAGTCTTTGGTATTAAATGGATGAAGAAGTAGGATTTATGGCATTTTTACTTGAAATCCAAAAATTCAAAGATTTAAATGGATGCGTCATTACTGCTTTCTGATGTTTTACCCAGAGACGCTAACTAATTGAAAAGGGTTCTTGTCATTGATTGTCTTTAAGAGAATAAGTATCCCTCCTTCCTGACATCACCACCACCACCACCACTTCTTCTTATGAAACACTATTTTCAGGTTTCAGTGAGGTGGCTTTTCAAAATGAGAATACTTTTATTACATATTTGCCATGGCAACAGTTGAAGCTCCAAGGACAGAACATTGTTTCACTGATCAAATATTAATGCAGCTATATTCTAAGAAACCAAAACATGCTTTTTTTATTTTTTTTTATTATTATTCAAGCTCTGGCTGGTGGTAAATAACTGTTAGACCACAGAAGACATAGGAGTGTATAGTGTGATATGGTGACATGCTGTCATAATGATGTAATTCATATTCATACTTTCCAGTCTGATTGACTGGGGCATTTCTGTAAAACATCTCAGTCAGTTACCATGGCAACACCACGTTTTACTGGCTGCAGAGCATGCAGAGCTGTAATGCTATAGCATTCCATCACCACACACATACACACACAAAATACAGACACACACACACCCTTAGCTACCCATGTCCTCCCCACACACACTCACAAATAAAAGGCAGAGATGCACATACAATGGAGGAGCAAAATTAGCAATGAATTAAAAACAAAATTCTACACATAAAAGCCTGTGAACACATACACAGCTGCACACACAGCAATGATACAGACACATGCACAAACGCACAGGCTGTGCACAAATACTGCATGTGATATTAAGTTCATGACACACAACCTTGTTTACCTTCATCAGATGGATAAGCTACCAACAGCGACTGCTTAGACATTATTGCTTTTGCTTTACCTTGCTGCTTTATATATTTATAATAGGGTCGTCAAACTATTAAAATAACTGATCATGATTAATCAGAATCGTGATTGGTTGAGATTAACTACATAAACTAATCACATTTATCTAGCTTGCTCAAAAGAAAGATGTTTTTCATTTACAAATATAGGGCATTTTGTCATAGGTACAGTTCACAATTACTGTTTTTTGTTAAAATTAACTTAGGGAAAAAGAAAAACATTACATGTGGCCTGTGCAAAAGTAATGGCACATTTCATATTTTATGTTTTATAAACTGTATAAAAATTCCACACTAAAATGCCATATTTAGGTTTGTTCTCTGATGTTCACATCTAGAGGATGTGTTAACTAATTTTCACTTAGAAAATAGACAACACGTGTAATTTGACTGGCTGTGTTTAAACTTTTGCAGACAACTGTATATGTGTGGACAAAACGTTTACTCAGAATGTATTCAATTAATTCATACATTCAGTAATTCAACAACAGGGGTTCTCATGAACCCTAACCATTAAAATCATGTGATTTCCATCGGGTGAACGCAGTATCCAATTTTCATCACTGACGTCCAATGAGAGCAACAGTGGCTGCAAGTTCTAACCAATGAGTGTATATATGCACGCTGACTGGCTACTTCATTAAGTATACTGACTTTGTATCTACACTCATTTTCCATTTTATCAGCTCCACTTACCATAAAGGTCCACTTTATACTTCTACTATTGCAAATGGAAGCCCATCCGTTTCTTTGCATACTTTGTTAGCCCCCTTTTACCCTGTTCTTTAATGGTCAGGACCCCCCTAGTACCCTCACAGATCAAGTATTATTTGGGTGGTGTATCATTTTCAGCACTGCAGTGACACTGACGTGGCGGTGGTGTGTTAGTGTGTGTTGTGCTGGTACGAGTGGATCAGACAGCAGTGCTGCTGGAGTTTTTAAATAGTGTGACACTGTGTCCACTTACTGTCCACTCTATTTGTCACACTTGCTTTGTTGGTGCACCTTGCAGAGTGGATGTAGTCAGAGACAGTAGCTCATCTCTTGCAGCACAGTTTGTTAATCATCCTCACTTTTTTGGACAGTGACAAGTGGTGATCTGGACCATTTCACAGGGTACGGCAGACTAAGAAATTATGCAGAGAAAAAGATGGACTAAAAGCAAGTATCTCCAAAATGGCAGCTTTACAGGAGAAGGCAAAAACATTCTTTACTTTCAATGTAAGTTAAGGTAAAGAGGTTTTAGCATTTCTGTTGGTCAAATCATCATGAAATTTTACACAACGTAAGGGACAGCTCCTGTGCTCAAATAATAATTAATAATAATAATAATAATAATTTTTATTTATATAGCACTTTTCATGCTGGTGGCAGCTCAAAGTGCTTTACAGACAGGTGATAAAACATAGTTATAGAAGAAATCATTAGTATTTATTTAGAATCGGAACAAAATGAAAAAGGTCAAATTTGAAGATAAATACCACAAGACGTAGACTTTTAATCAAATGCTAAGTTAAAAAGATACGGTTTTAGATGCTTCTTAAAAGTGAACACTGAGCTTGACTGTCTAATAAAAGGTGGAATTGAGTTCCACAGTTTAGAAGTATAATAACTGAAAGAGGCCTCTCCATGTTTTCTGTATTTTACAGAGCGTATTTGTAGAAGGCCACTATCTACAGATAGTTTAGATCTGACACTCTGTGACGTAAGCAGATGCTAGGTCATTTAGAGCCTTAAAAACTAGTAGCAGAACTTTAAAATCCATCCTGAATGATACAGGTAGCCAGTGCAGTTCTTTTAAAACAGGAGCCTCTTTTGATGCCTCTTTTTTGTTTTTGTTAGGATGCGCGCTGCTGCATTTTGTACGAGTGGATGTCTAGTATTCTTAGGAAGTCCAGTAAGAAGAGTACTACAGTAGTCAGGTCTGCTTGTAATAAATGCATGAACAAGTTTCTCTATGTCGCTCTGAGAGAGAAAAGGTGGAACCTTAGCAATATTTCTCAAAAGTTAAAAAGCTACTTTAGTGACTGTGTTTACATGTGGGATAAAACAGAGCTCAGAGTCTAAGATCACATCCAGGTTTGGTATATGAAGCTAAAGAACCAAATTTCTCATAAATCATTTTTCTCTGAGTTTCCAACGATCAATATTTCAATTTTTTTATGATTTAATTGTAGATTTTGTAACATCCACTGAGAAATATCTGACACACAGCCGGTTAGTCTGTCTACAGAGTCTTGATCTTCAGAAGTAATAGAAATGTATAGCTGGGTGTCATCAGCATAGCTATGAAAATGTATACTATGCTTCCTAATGACATCACCTAGAGGTAGCATGTACAAAGAGAAAAGCAAAGGCCCTAAGACTGAACCTTGAGGCACTCCACAAGAAATGGCAAATCTTTTTGATGAACGATTTCCAAGTTAAACCATGAACTGCCTATTACTTAAATATGATTTAAACCATTCTAAAACTGTGCCTGAGAGGCCGACCCAGCATTCAAGACACTGGATTAATATCTTGTGGTCAACAGTATCAAAAGCTGCACTAAGATGTACTAAAACCAGAATAGAAGGATTTTGTGCATCAGCGCTGAGCCTGAAGTCATTTATAACGCATATCACTGCCGTCTCTGTACTATGGTTAGAACGAAACCTGACTGAAACTTCTCATATAAATTGTCTGATATTAGATATGCATTTAGTTGTTTGAAAACAACTTTTTCTAAGACTCTACTTAGAAAAGGCAGGTTTGAAATTGGTCTAAAATTATGTAGTACAGAAGGATCTATGCTACTCTTTTTTAGCAGAGGCTTCAGCAAGGCAGTGATGTAGAAAAATAAAATCGAATAACACACACACACACAAAATATATATATATATATATATATATATATATATATATATATATATATATATATATATATATATATATATATAGGCTTTCTTGGAACAAAACTTATATATATCTCCATTTTTGCATTTTTGTTTGAAAACACCAGCTGTCCTTTACAAAATGTCATGACCAACAGACATGCCAAAATTATTTGGAACAAAAATCACATTACCTTAACTTGCATTAACAGTTAGGAAGGTTTTCCCTTCTCTTGTAACGTTACCATTTTGGAGATATGAGGTTTCATTCCAGCAGCGACAATATACAGTATTTGCAAGGCTAACACATTTGCTAGGCTGTAACATCTGTCTGATCAGACAAATGGCAAAAGATGAAATCATGTCTGTAAAATCATGTTCTTGTGGTAAAAGAGTCACAACTGTTTTATTCATCTGCTTGACCATGAGATGGCCACATATTCAAGTCCCAAGCCAACATTTTTTAGGGGCACTAATGGATGCTTCAAAGTTGGATTATCTTTATTGATAGCATGTCATAAAATCTTACAGTGAATTCATTTTGAGAGGCATCTGTATCATACTGCACATAAAACATGCTGTAAGAGAAAATAAAAAAATCTGTGTTAAAGAATAGCTCAATAAAAACATAAAAGATGCTAATGCTGTTAACAATAAATAAACGTGAATAATCAACTACTTTCTATTTATTGTTAGCCACACTAGCATGTCTGGTCAGGCTGTACATTTAAAATGTGCAACATATAGAATACTCTTATAGACTATGGCATCTTAAAATACATGTAATCTCCAAAACACAGCTTGCACATGCATATTGTCCACACAGCAGTGTATCATATTGATGACATTTAGTCATCTCGTCAAAATAGTTATTCATGATTATTATTGGCTAATGGGTTCTTCAATGTTATTGCATACTGCATAGCTTGTGACACCTGAGAGCGCTACTAATCATTACTAATCAATTTTGAACATAACAGAAACAGATGATAGGTATCATATTCATAAAAGAGCCAAATGATATGTAGCTCACTCATTCCTCATTCATACTATTTCAGTCGCAGAACTCACACTGCAATTAAAGGAATACTCTGACATTTTTCAACCAAATCTCTATTTGTCGCAACTGTAGTGTTTGGTTGACAATAATTTCAACAGCTTTACCTGTACTAGAAGTAGGGGTGTTAATGATTAACCAATTAAACGTTAACCGACATATACATAAATGTTCAACTAGTGGTTTCGGTTAAAAAGTTAATTTAATTTCCAAAAACCTCCACAACTCCAGGTTTTCTGGAGTCGACTGTGACTCGTGATTTCTGCTGCTGGAGTTGATGCAGTTGACCCTCAAGTCCATTTAAATTTAACCAGTGGCACCAGAGCAACTGACAAAGGGACATAGCAGAGATTGCATTTTATCATAAATGTGGTTTACAACACTATCACAACTAGGATATTTAGCCATAAAACACAATGCTAAGTTGGGGTACAACTCACTCTTTTTTTATGTTGCTTCTGTTGAGTTTAGCCTTAAGCTATAGCCTACACGTGTTTGTTAGCTAACGCCTAGCCTATTTAGTTAGTCCCATAATAAAAAAGCTTAAAAGCTGCAAGTTACCGACTTTATGTTGATTGTCGTTTAAACTATGCATACAAATGCCCCAGTCAGGCCATATAGGTCTTTTTTTTTTAACTTGGGCTAATATGTGGTAAATGTCAGTAAACAGACTGTCATATTACCGTCATATCTGTTACGTTAGACTGCATTTTTTTCATTCTAACACAGTGCTCTGTTTGATGTTTTCATCGGCTGCGTCCATGATTTTGTCAGCAACAAGCAGCAACTAATAACAGTCAGTAACAAAATCAAAAGAATTTGCCAAAATTTGAATCCACAAATAAAAGCCAATGGGTAGTTGCTGAATTGTGTCAGTAAACATTTATGTGAAACATATACCTGCAGAACACAAATGTTTATTAATAGAATTCAGTAACTGCAAAATAGCTTCAGTTTTAAGTGAGTTTTGTGTCAATGGTTTTCTTGCATTGAAACGAATGTCTGTCTGTAGTAGATTTGTTTTTATTTGAAGGAATGTGTCTACATAAATGTTCTCTCTTGCTCTCTCTCACAATGTTTATAGTCTATAGCTGCATTTGGAAAAGCTTTGGAGGAGGAGTGAGTGAACATGCACCTGAATGAAACTGGGGATGATGTTCAACAGAACATTGATTCAAGTCTCAGCGTGGGTGATTAGAGGGATATGTTGGATTGGTGAAAAGGTCACAGCAAATATTTCCCTGTTTGTTAAGCTTTTTAAAAAGAATTTTAGCAGCAGTAGCAGGAGCAGGGCTAACAATTGAGCAGAGGAGGGTGGATGCCATTCTCCACCAGGTACAATCAAATTCAGTTTTCTAATTTAGTGGTACCAGTCAGGCCTTCAAATTCATGCCTGTGCAGAAATCTAGTCTGTGGTGCAATACAGATGTGACAAATACAGATTGAAAAATGCTGGCGTATTCCTTTCTGCATAGACATTTATGTCGCAAGTCATGTGAGCATGAATTCAGCACTAGATTGTTTGTCCAGGTAGAGAGTGCAATGTCAGCTTGAAAATCACTGGTTTGTCATGATAAGCCTAATTTAAGCACCAAAAAGTAAAATGTTTACTCCTCCACCCCTCATTTTTATAAAAAGCAATACAGATGTATAGTTTGACTGAAGTAAACAGTGATGCAGTGAATGTTCCATATGAAGGAAATACAGTGAAAATGCAACTTTGCTTCCATTTAGGATTATTTCTTTTTATAAATCTGGCAAAAATAATACTTGATACATTTATGCAACCTAACAATATTAGTGTTATTAGTGGAGATGAGGCACAATGCTATTCTGTGTAGTCGGTTGTTTAAAAACTGCAATGGCAACATTTACCTCAAATTCATTCAATCATATTTTGCCTAGACAATGCTGGACACCACAAGCCTTTGAAACTGTGTGCTGCAGTCCCAGATTCATGATAAGTGTTCTGTGAAAACATACAAGGACTAGGGAGCTAAATTGGGTGGGTAGTGCTGGGCATTGAGTGGAGAGAAAAAAAAAATCATTCAAAAAGGCCTCTTGCAGCTGGAGCAGGTGGTGTTCTGCTTCGAGACGTTCCCTGCAGGCACACATATGCATTCAGTCTTTAGCGCACAATAAAAAGAGAACAAAAACATTATAGGACACTATGGAATGTTTTATAACACCTAGTTCTAACACAGTCTGAGTGGTTGCAAAGCTTATGATGTAGCCTCAGAAAGTATTTAGACACATTAACCATTAGTAAACTTTAATTCATAATTAAACTTTAATAAGTTATTTAGGTTAAATCATAAAATGTTTCACAAAATGATATCTATTTCAGAGAAAAACACTGTATCTTAGCACAGTATCAAGCTGCTGGTAGCCTCTTTGTTTGTAGAAAGCCTGGAGAAGAATACAAACCAGTCTGCACTAAGACTACTGTAAAGCACAGAGGTGGAAACGTCAAAGTCTAAGGCTGTTTTTTCAACAGTGGTGTCGGTGTGCTTGTGTTTATTAATGGGATCATGAACTTAGAAGAGGACAAATGCATTTTGGAATCAGACCTGCGGGGGGTGGGGTTGGGGCTTTCAGGTGACGCCTTTTTAAATGTAAGGCGTGTCGTGTTTCATGCTTTAAAAGAAGCAGAACACACTTTGGGGGTGAATATTAGGCAAACATGGGACATCAATTTAAAAGAATGCAAAAGACATTTCAAAATTGACATATACAGTTCAGGTTTGAACACCCCCAGTCAAAGAAGTTCACACATTCTCTGCAGAGAAAAAACATAAATATAGATTTTTTTTTAGCATACAGTTTAACATATTGGGAAAAAATAAAATAAGATATAAAATGTATTTGTGTACTAAGTAATTGACTTAGAAAATGAAATGTACTGACGTTCAAAAAACAGTCTAACTTTTCCTCTGTGCTGGATGAGTGATTAGAGAGAAGGCAACTTTGATATTTGCTGGTCAGCTGTGATGAGGTATGGCACACTTTCCTAGGTGCATACTTGAAAAAGTCTGAAAAGGCTTTGTCTGAATGAACACAACCACCCCCCCCTCCCCCAAATACTTTGGGGGCCACTGTATCTGACAAGGGTATGTTTTGTTACAACTATATCTGTAAATTCACTGTTTACCATTTGCTATGTAACACCAATGGTTGCTTTACTCCAAGTTACTCTTTTTTTGGTGGAAGAAACTGTCAACATTAAAAACATAAAGGAAACAATGTTCAGGTTTCCCTACTTCATTCTTTGCTTTGAAAAAGTGGTGGACAAAAGCAAGAGAACCCACAAGGTCATGCGTTATTGCAAATAACGTCACGGCTGTGATGATCTACTGCGACCGAATCACAGCCTTGATGTTATTCGCAATAACACACGGCCTCAAGAGTTTTATTGCTTATATGGGGCATTGTAATGTGAGTATCTGGGAAAAAAATAATCCTACCACAGGCTGGCCCTTTGCGTAGTTCACATGAGCATACAGCAGCATGGCAATATCTTTGTGGCCTGCCTCCAGAGCTATAGACAGAGCAGTGCTGTCATCCTACAATACACACAAACACATATATACACATCCACTTCAATACAGGCATAAAAATGAACTAAGAATATAAATGTTTTGTGAGCATTGAGTCCAACAACTACGCACATACAAAAGGTTATATTCAAACCTTGTACTGTTTTCTAGGTATTTTGATTTATGTAATCTGGTCCAATCTGACCAAGGTCAAAAGGTCAGTGTGTACAAAATGTATAGGTAGGTAAGACTCAGTTCCAGGCTATTAAATTGTTTGGTGCAAACCAGGCAGTTACATCAGTGGTTGCGTCCTCCTGAAATGACCACGTTGCATTGTGGGATGCAGTATATCACAAAGACAGCTCTGGCTGCATACTGGAATATTTGTCCAGAGCAGTACATCATTCGGGTATGCTGGATAAATTCATGTTGGTAACATACTGCATACTACCTACTTCTACAAGGCACAATCAGCATGCAAGCAGTATGTAGTAAACCCGGACAGTGTATTGACTGTAGCAGACCCCCTGCCAAGCTGGTCCATCCTGATGTCATGATTTCTTAGATTTTGCATAATTTGTCACACTAAATGGTTTTGAATCCTAATACAATATGCAATATGAGACAAGGAGAACACAAGGAAACGCAAAACATTTTAAATGATCATGTCCTTTACTGAAGAAAAAATGTGTGACAAACTTCACCAAGTGAAAAAGTAATTGTGGTAGAGAGCAGATTTCATGATTCTGTCAGTTATGGCAGGTCACCGAGGCCCTGAAGCAGTAAAGGTTCCCCACACCAAAACACTACCACCACCATGTTTGACTGTGGTACGCTGTGTTGCCATTATACCAGATGTAACGGGACCCCAGTCTTCCAAAAAAGTCCAATTTCAATTCATCAGTCCACAGAATATTATTCCAAATAGCTTCAGAGTCAAGTTGTTTTTTTGTTAAATATAAGACAAGTCAGTATGTTCCTCTTGGTTAGCTTTGGTTCTTACTTTGCAGCTCTCCCATTGATACCACGACCACGGCCACCACAACAGAACTTCAAATGATGGCGGCAAAGAAAGAGGTACCAAAGAAGGCAAAGCAGTTATACCCATCTATTAATCAAATAAGTAGTCAAAATGCATGCAGATTCTAGGAAATGTCCTACTTACATTGTCACTCAGTGTGGCATCACAGCCCGGCTGGGCCAGTAGGAGCTTAACTATGTCAGCGTGGCCGTGCTCACTGGCACACATGAGTGCGGTGGAACCCTCATCATCCTGGATGTTGACTTTTGACCCTGAAGTCAAGAGAACTTTAACCATGTCTAGACGACCATGACTGACCGCCAGCATGAGAGCAGTCTGACCAGCCTACAGGACAATGGTACACACACATATACATATAGATATGCATTTGACACACACTAACCATGCAGGGACTCATAACAATTTATGTAAAAACTGTTAACTCTGAGATCAGGCTTGGGAGATTTAAAAAATAATTTCATCAACAGACCAGTATTTTTACATGAAGATGATTAATGACCACTTTGGAATGTGCACTACGACTGAAAACTGCACCTCTCTTTTCTGCTGAGTTCCACATACATCTAGGGCTGCAATTAATGATTATTTCTTAAACGATTAATCGGTTCGTCATGGTTTCACTTATTCGGGAAAAGTGTGCTCTGTAGTCTCCAATAACTAAATATTTCATGTTATTCACAATGTTTATTTATTAAAGGATTATTCCTTTGTTGCCACAGTGCTCTTTCAAACCTAAAACGTCTACGCTATACTTTTATCCATATCAACAAAGCCAAAAGATGCCTTCTGCATTGCCCTCAAAAATACTCAAAAGTGCAGAAACAACAAAGGAAGGACATATTAATAAATCTTGCATGGCAGTTGAACTGCTGTGGAGGTAGTCTGATTCTATAAACACTTTGCATTGCTATTCAAATTATTTCTCTAAATCAAAGATAAATGAATTAGTTTCACAGAAGCAGCTTGGTCATCAGACATGCAGAGCTATAAAGCATGTTCACCACTCATCAAACAGCAGTAAAGATGCGTGATAGTGTTTTTTTTTTTTTTTAAAAAACATCTGTCCACATAAAAACATAGAAAAGTGAATTTCCTTTTTATTTCCACTTCCATGCTAGAGAGCATTTTCCAAAAGCTCTGTTTTCAGTGACATGCGGTGGGAGTCCAAAATACAGCACCAAAAAATATGTAACGATTTTATTAGAGTATCAAAAATTTTAAAAAGTGAACATTTGTAAGTGTTTCATTTACTGGCTTTGTATCAGAGTAAAGTAGGAGGGGAACACGCTATGCACACATTCACGCTCAAATGGCTGAGCTTTTTTTCTTCCAAACTCGATTCTAAATTCTAAGAGTTGTAATTTTTGTGGCCTATTTTGTTAGAGAGCACAAAATTGTCTTTATTCCCTGTGCATGCAAATGGGAGTTTGGCCCTCCCTGCTGCGTTCAGCTACACAGTGAAGCTTTATACATTTTTCATAGTTCACAGTTTGTCATAATATGCCCTACACCACATCAGCGAGTCTGCGTGACCTTAATGAAGACTTGGATGCTGGAGTTGAGGGAAATTTTGGGGCCATATATACAGAAAAGATTTGGGTGACTATTGACTTGTGTATGTTTGCAACATTGAATTGAATTAAATTTATTGAATGATAATACAAAAAACACCACACAGCAGCTGTTACATACAGAAATCATCAAGGATTAAAACACAATAAAGCCTTAGAGCTTATTTGCATTGTGGTTCTCATCACATTAAACACAAATATAGAATGGACAGCACAAAAAACACTTCACATCAGGCAGACAGCAGAGTGGATTTTCTATTCAGTCATTTCCAATAAATGCTCCCAGAGAGCATAAATAAAAACTTATCTTGCTATCATGTTGCCAAATAACACTACACTTTATCTCTATAGAAAGTCTATTCCATAACAGAGCAGAAGCATATAAAAATGTGTTCTTACCCAACTGGGTTTTAAACTTAAATGGAATAAAATTTGTGGAGCTGCCTCTTATATAATGAGGGTGAGTATCTCTAACCAATAAAAAATTATTTGCAAGGTACTCTGGAACAGTGTTTCTAAGAATTTTATAAGTAAGCTTTTAAGTCTTCATGTAAGTAATTGTAGTTACTACTTCTAACCAATTCACCTTTCTAAAATGAGTTGCCTCTATATGTGTGTGGATAAAGTTTTAAAGGTGCCATAGAATGCATTTATCAGTATTTTAATTTGCTTTCTGATGTCTCCGTAGAAGGTATATGACTTTGCACCTGGGCATTTATTTGCCACGACCAGTTTTACACGCCCATTTTAAACCCTAGGATTTGGCCGTATTTTCCCTTTTTGGTGGGCTCACAAGTAATCTGATGAGCTCTGCTCCGGTTTGCTGGTTTACAGCGAGTCAGCGCGATGGCTTGCACAGAGGAAAGTAAGATTTATTTTAGTTAGGGCTTTTAAAGCCAACATTAGCCTTGTAACTCTAGTTTAAAATGAAAGTAGTAAAACTTGGACACCCAACAACTTGGTTTATCGACTATATCTGGGGTAATTGGAAAATTAGATTTTTCACAAAACCATTCCTTTAAGCTGGTAGACTATGGGTTTGTTTTAATGTGTCCACCCCACCCCCCACACTTCCCAAATATGAACCAGGATGTGGTCTACCACAATATTTTAAGAAGACCCATTAGCAATTATTGAAAAACAAATGTTGCGCAACCCTATTTGAAACAGCCACACACACCTGGATAGCTTTGGCATTGACGTCTCCCTTCCTGAACAGCCCCTCCACCACCTTCATGTCCTCTTGGGTTTCCACGGCAGCCAGAGCAGCCAACATGATGGGAGTGTATCCGGCCTTATTCTGCTGATCTATGTTACACACACCTGCACAGCCAGTTACACAAACACACACAAATGCTGTTCACTCCAAAAACAAGGTATCACAGCTAATCTAACTTTGCTAACCTAACTAGTCTAACACTGCTAATCTTATGTCCAAATTACTGCTTTATTAAATATTTACTGATATACGCTTTGACAGAAAGGCTCAACTATATTTCACAATTTCTTACATGGGTTGTTAGAGGGTAAGTAAATAAAAGCAAGGACCTTTAGTGTTTCTGGGTCAAATCTTGGGCAGGGCAGCAGTGGGCAGAAGTTAGTTACGCTTAATAGTTTTTACTCATTTGCTCAGTTACATTTTACAGTTAACTTTTATCAGTACATTCAATACACATACATTTTTTTATTTATTTATTTTTTAACCAAAAGCATCCAAAAAAGAGAATAGCGCCTAACTGTTTTTTCAAACTTTCTGCATAAAGGGCCAAATGTAAACAAAGTCTTTCAGAGTGGTTTGATGCTAAATGGTAAAATTTACTGACTTTTTACAGTGGTGGTGGTGAAAGAAACCCGGGGTCATGGCGGCTACAACACAAATATAGCCACTTTATTTACTATTCAAAATGTCCTCAAACACAAATGTGCATTTTGAGAACAACTATGCTTACATCTTAACCATTCAACTCAGTAGTTGTAGATGCATTACTTTATTTAATTTTTTTTACTTAAATTGTATTTGGTAGCTCAATTTACTTTGAAACTTTTTCAAAGTATTTAGATTTGTTCCTGGCTTTCTGGGCCCAAATCAGATTAAGCAAACCCTGTTTCCAGGATGATGCTGAATAGAATGTCCGCATTCCACTTTCTCTAATGATATCATTATGTAATCCTAGTACAATAACAATTATTACTCTAAAGCTAAAATAAAATGTACAAACTACTGAAAACTCCAGACAGCTCTAAGCACCAGCAGAGACACAGGGCAGAGGGTTGTTGAGGGTGCTGCAGCATCATCTACTGATAGAACTGTTTAATTGCAACTGCTAAAAAAAACCTGATAAAATAAAACGGTATGTCATGTACAGTCCAATGCAAAATTATGTGTTATGTTGATCTTCTAAGTGAAAATAAGTTAACGCATCCTCTACAGGGAACTTAAACCGGAACTTAAATTATGCCATTTTTCTGTTTCTTATCTTTGTTTTATTTATTTGCCGAGTTTAACATATTGGAAAAAAATGAAACATAAAATATAAAATGTGCTTCAATCAACAAAACATGTAATTTGAACTGAGGCCCCCAAACTTCTGAAGGCTAACAATCTTGCTATATCAGCACAAGATAAGCATAGACTAAAAATGTTTGAGATGCTGTTCAAAAGCATTATTTGATGAATATGTTTAGCTTTAATTGGAGCAGAATTTGTACTTCAATTTAGACAGCTGATTTTTTATTATAAAAAAATATATTTTACAATTATATATAGTGTATTACTTTTGATTTTTTTATATATCCATGTTCTAAGGATGGCTGTTGTTACTACACAGTAAATTGTACTATACTGTCAGGTTTCATTATGCTCTTCGGGTGATGATGGGCCAGTTTTGGTCAGGTTTGGACAGAATTTTGTAATATTTATGTCAGTTTCTAACTCAAATTATGATTGTGGTTCAGGTCGGCTTGGGTCAGGTTCATTTAGCTTGAATACAAATCCGAGAGCTTGTCTCTTCTCAAACATTGCCGCCAATCCCTTCCACATCACTTTTACTCCAGGTATATCATCACAAGCTAATGTGTAGTCTAGTTTAATAGAATGTAGTTTTTTTGTTGCAAGAATGCATGTTAATTTCTTGCACACGTTGTCCATGCATGCAACACACATCTATATGCTTAATGGAAATTTTTGAGGGAGTTTTCAGTGATGCTAACTTTAGCTTGCCAGCTCTTAACTTACGAATAAATATAGGAAGTTTCTGTAATACAGCCCCAGGAACGCGTACCTGCGTCCAGCAGCTTCTGCACCACCCTGAAGTTAGAATGTGACACACTGTAGTGGAGCGCTGTGTTGCCATTCTGGTCAGCCATGTTGGCCACGTGAGTTAGCACAGCGGGCGACACGCGGCGGCACGCACACAGAAAGTCCTCCACTGTATCTGGGCACGACTTCTTCTGACTGGACACGCGGAACCATTCTTGCTGTATCATGTTCAGGCTGGAGCGCTTTAAAATAGAAACATGTCGTTACACGCATATACATTTTGAAGTCAAACAAACAAAAACAAAGACAGAACTCCAGTTGTCATATACTCGCCTAAAGACCTTTTGCCCCAAGGCCAAAAAAAAGGAACTACAATTTGCAGCTCCACAAAATTCCACAGTGCGGAACAGCCGGAGCTAAAACAGTGCACGCCAGTTGGTAATTGCAGGATAAAGCTGACAGCAAGTAAATGTAGAACCCAAAGTGCAGTAATTGTTTCACTTTAAGTGCCAGATGGCAAAAGGCAGTTTCATCATCCAAAATCATTCACCACAAACATGCCCCTCCATCAGTTTACTCTCTTTTTCTTGCTTAAGTGATTTGATTTTCCACACTTCAAGCTCAATTATCAACAACTTCTTTCCTCTTGCCCAAACTTTATGATGAAAAATACTGTCTAATCGTACCCTCATTCCTCCTAGATAAAGACTGATAGTCCCTCAGTAGATCAGAAGAAGGTGCTAAAAAAGGTGGTAAACGACTTGTTATAGTGTATAACCGATGTGCGTGTTTTAGACAAATGACTTAAAACATTAGATAACAGCATTTTCGGCTGTACAAGCCCACTATAACTACACTTTTGGAAGCATTAAACGCTCTAGATGTCTGGTTCCGATCACCACTGCTGTAAAAACTGTGAGTCAGTAAATGTCTTTAGAACTGAGCATTTCACTTTAGTGTTGGCCATTGTCTACCTAACTGGCATATGACGATGTTTACATTTGAGACCATTCGTGCCATTTGGACTGTCAGTACAGCTGAATGAAGATGAAATTAGACCAAGACAAGCCATGCTACAAGCATGAATAGCACAGAGCCTCAGCAGTTTTTTACTGCTGTTTTTTACACGTTATATTTTCTTCTCTTCTCCAGAGTTCAAGTTTAAGCTTTTAAGTAAAGCGTTACTTAAAAAAAAGAGACATACAAAGTAAAGAATGTCACTTACATGCCTGTTATGAACTTAAAATGTTTGTATTTAAACTATAGCTGACATAAAAATCCCAAACAGAGGCAAGCTAACCCCACTAGCTTCATGCTAATATAGCTAGCTGGCTACCATAGTAAAAATACAAGAAGCATTTCTGAAACACTGGTTTGAAAAACAGATTTCTACATTAGAAATCTGCTAAAAATTTCACCGTTGCTGTAAAAAGGGAATACTTTGGCTATAGTTCTATGCCTGTACTTGAAAGTTGAAGTGAAATTACTTGAATAATTGGTGTAACGTTAGGCTGTAAACAGGTTCCCCCGACTTAAGCTGCTTTCACACTGAACACAGTATGCTCACACAACTCGCAGCTTGCACAGCACTCGTCCGTTGGGCGCAAAAATGGGCGGTGCTCTCAGATAAAACTAGCCTTTCAGGTAGCGACGGGAACTACCAGACATGCCTACTGCTCTCCTATTGGGTGCGCTGAAGATCAGCCGAAGTGTGTCGCGCAAATGTTGAAACCGTTCGAACTTTACAAGACCCTGCACACTGGGCGCCCACCCCAGTCTAACTAAAATTCCCAGTTTGGCAGGAAAATGACTGCTAAATCTGGCAACACTACCTATAGTATTCTTCAAGGCTTAAAAAAATAAATAAATAAACAACCTAATTAACTCCATGAAGGGAAAAGTGAAAACTGATTTTTGGTCTAACCATCGTTCAATTATTTATCTTTATTTATTTATACTTTCAAACGTTCAGCAGGCATTTGTGTAAAGGTTCCATTTTTTGGAATCACTGAAAAACGTGATTACTAGAAGCTTAAACCTAACTACCACCATCATCCAAACACAAAGAAATCCATGTGTGGTCCCGCAGGCATGCACCAACAGCTTTAACAGCAGCATACAAGACTAAATTTTAGGTTCTCTCCACAGGCTATAGATGTTCTCATTTTCAATGCATGATTAACTGCACACAGTTACAGTAGTGTTGATGTGCTTTCAACTGGAATATGCCAACAGTGAAAATGACTAGAATGTGCGAGGGATAAGCATATATTAGGTGAGCTTAGATGGGCTTTAGTGACCCTTCACCTACCCAAAGAGTTTAAAGTTCTGAGGTTAAAGACCACTATGCTATAATAATTACACCCTTTCTATCTTCAAAAATCTATTAACAATAGAACCAATCCTATGTATGTCTGAAAAAGCACAGATTACAGACTGTACTACTTGTAAAACAACAAAGATAAACTATTTGATATTTTGTGTGAAAATAAAGAAAAATTAAGATACAGAAGTACTAAAAGTCTGAATTTTGATAAATACATCCAATGCACAGTGAAACCTTCCAAGGAATCTGGTTATTATGCCTACTAAAGCACTGACTGTCAGCCAAGCTGATTAGGAATGTCTGCAGAATAACCAAACTGTCAAATGAGGAAGTAATTGCTAGACAACAGCGATGCGGCCCATGAGATATAGCACACTGAATGCCGGATGGAAGAAAAACAGTAATTAAAAGCAGTGTTAAGTGCTGCTGTGCACCCACAGAGATCAAGTACATACAGACAAACAACATCTCAGACAGACTGTCTTGATGTTTTCTTCCCATGGTTCAAATTGCAAGGAGTTCACATTCCACAGACTGCTCTATAAGTATTATATAATGAGCCATTTCCTCTGTCTGAGATGGCAAGCCAAGCACAGAAAAACACAACCAAAATGCTTTTAAGAAGAAACAGTATAATAAATAAATATAATACTTTTTTTTCAGGTTAGATGCACTCACCAGCTCTCTGTTGGATAAAGCCTTGCTGTCATTTAGGTGAGTCTTTAAATTGTGGCAGAAGGAAAGCATTTTTTCGCTCATCTTATACCTAAACAACACAAGACAAAGTGGCACAAAATGCCAGTTCTTAACCAACTGCAATATTATAGCGTAACACAGATTCCAAGTAGAAGTTATATTCAAAGCGTTTTTTGAGAGAAAAGGTGTCAAATATTTTACAGCATGACACTGATGAAGGGCTGCACGACATAGACAAAATACTAGTATTGTGATTATATTACTACACATTGTGATTGCAATATGCCTAGCAATATTTTAAAAAAAGCCCGTGTTGAATCCATTCAACAGAAAATTATGCAAAAGCCTCAACAACTAAATAAAGTTGCACATTTTCAGTATTTAACATGTCCACACTTGGAAATCTGTAGGGATTCTTTGTCATGCTTTTTTGTCAATACCAATAAAGTTCAGCCTTTGAAGCAATCCAAGTAATCTGAATGACTAATTTAGACTAATCAGACCATACAACTTTACTCCGCATCTCAGCTGTCCATTTTCTGTGTTGTAGTGCAAACTGTCTTCTTTTTTTCTTGTCTTTTTCTCAGTAATGGAATCTTGACAGCTACACACCCTTTCAGACTCATAGTGCTAAGTGGATGGATGGACAGGAACACCTGTGGATTTTTTCAGAACTGAAGTAACAGTGGAGCTTGATTTTCTCCTATCTCTAAAAGATGAAAGCTTAAAGTACTGTTTATGTAACAGTGAATGTTTTGGTGGTTTGCCAGGTCTTGCATGGTTGTTAAGAGTCACATTTTTTCTGTTAATTTTCTTTTAATACATTTTTTGAACTCTAGTTGTAGAAGCTTTTCCTTTGACTTATCCAAGTGGATTTTCTTCTATTTGATCTCCTCTAAAAATATCTCCTTTAGCCATTTTAGGTGCATATGAGAAAGAAATTTGTAAGGTATCTAAGGTGTGTTTGGGTAGTTGATTATGTGAATGTTAGTGTCTCTTTGAAAGGGAACATAATGTCAGTGACACCTTTGGGAACAGCTGTAACTGGCTGGTTTTAAGATGGAAAGGATGGAAGTTCAAATTCTGGAATTGCAGAAAATGTGTTTTGCTAGTGATACTTCTGAGGGTTACACACTGATTTTCAGACTTTGGGACACATTTACTTCAAAACAATGAAATCTAACTGCTCAACATATGGCCATGAGGGACAGAGATGCGGTCTTACCTCTTGTTCTAAAACGCACAGGTGTGGCTATAATAAGGCTCTGCCTATGGAATAAAATTCCTTGTGTTTCGGTAGTGACATAAAAACATGGGACAACAGTTTTTACTAAAGTTTTTTTTATTTAAAAATTAAATCTAAACCTTTTCACTTGTACTTCGTAGCCGTTTTGACTAGAAATTAAATAAACAAAATGATGGACTCTTACTTCAGCAGTTTTACTTCTACTGGATCGCATGAATACACCCACATAAACACTCTTTATCTGGAACTATGATTGGTCAGGATGTTCAAAGCACACTGTAAAAACCCTTATGATGGTTAGAGGGCTAATCTGCATATTGCCTTCTTTAATATCAGTTTTGAATACATTAATATCACATTAATAATTAGCAGACGATATACTGTGCAGCCCTACATTGGATGCGTGGAAATATTGTTTTGCACCAACCTCTCTCTTCTCGCCATCTTAGAAGCCTTTGTGCTGGTCCTGGGACTCTCCTCCTGCTTCCCCTTCCTCTTCTCCTCATTCTCAGAATCAAAACCCTCAGAGGAGGAGTCTTCACTTATGGACATTTGCTCAAACCTGCAGCCAAGACATAAAGTAGCCAAAGTAGCTTTGAACATTCTTGAACATCTCGCTGTCAATGGGTTCTTCATTTTATTACATCTGGATGTTATTTAGCCCTCAAACAGGGACTCTCGTTGATCTCTTGTATTACAGCTAGGGTAAATAAAACCAAAAAACAAGACAATTATATCCCAGTCAGACACTGTTAGACATAATGAGAGATCAATGATCCCTATAAACTGAATGATTTTTTAGTGTCATATTGTGTATGGGTGTGAAATTTTGCTCTCTTCATTTTATTCATTTATTTACATACTCTGCAAACGTCAGAGATCAGCTTTCATTTATTTAATTTCCAGTCAAAATGGCCATTAAATACAAGTTATTCGGCATCAGGAAAAAAGCAGAAAACATAATGAACAGAATATTACGCAGAAGCGTCAACAGCTAAGTATAATATAAAATGTTTTGGTATAAATTGGCCCTTATTTTTCAAAGCTGTGTAAAAAAAGAACACAGGTTTGACCAATTTTATTGATGTACAAACTAATCTGTTTCCGATTCATGAAACTTTGATATGATGTGGAGACAAGTGGAGATTTGACTGCAAATAATGAGTTTCAGTGCGTGAAATCAAGCGCCAGCCCACCAGTACCTCATTTACATATCATTTACATGAATCACGCCCTAATTCATGCAGATGGTTTGGTAGGGAGCCAATAAAATGACAACATTAAGCAGTTGAACAATGCGATTGTGTTGTGTGATTATTTTCAAAAATAACTTATTTTAGCGCTGTATTATTGTAGTATATGAGATTCTGCTTCTGCACAAGCTGTGTTTTGCATTTTTTAAGTTTTGGGCCATGTCAGTAGTATAAAACAAAAAAGCAACGTAATATGTCTTGAAATGGAACCTGGAATAGTTGCAGCATTTGTTTATATCAGTGTGCATGTAAAATAAGTACATCCACTTTTGTATTGGATTCACATGAACACAAAGTATCAGATTCCCCTTCCTAATGCAAGGGGATTATCTTATATCTAATCTCATTGTAAAATATCTAAAAAAAAATTATTAATTTGTGCTTAATTGCCATTTTGACTGTAAATTAAACAAATGAAGTGTGGTCTCTAATTTTTGCACAATACCATATATTTAACTCTGTCTTATACTCATATTATTATTATGATATTAGTAGGCTTTGTTGAATTTAATTCCTGTGGTTGACTGATAGCCTTTCTTCTCATTAAGAAAAAAAAGAAAAAGAAGAAAAGAAAACACAGGGACTAATCTAATGAAAGCACTTATTAAATTGGGGCCTGAAGATGGGGCTCCATAGATGAAAGTGGTCAGACAGCAGTGAGGGACAAGGAAATTTTAGTGGGTCAAGGCAAAACCAATGAGTTGTGGTTAGAAAGCAAGGTCACCAATAAGAGAGGCCAAGTGAAGAATTAAGCATTGGGTAGGAGGAGCTGAAGTTCATGACTCACCCAGGACACAGAGGTTTGAGGGTCTTTCTGCTCTCTGCTCTCTGGCTGATGTCCTTTCTCTTCATGATGGATCTAAGGGAGCCATCATCACCTGGAGGTCCTGGAGACAACAAAACATAAGACATTTTCATTACTCACAGACTCTCGACACTTAAAATAGATGAGTATAGGTAAAACAAATTTTCAATAGAGCAAAAGCTAATATGTTGCACAGGTAAAAGTAGACAAAATGATGATATATTTTTACCCTAATGTATTCATAATATGCTTTTGAGTATAGTTTGAGTATCATCAGAACTTCTTGAAGACTGAACAACTGCATGTATCATAAAAAAGGCAGATGCAGACAAGTATGCAGAGCATAAACCACATGGTAACAAATAGCTGATTAGATGTCAACCCATTATGCCATTATCCAATGTTTTTCATTTATTTCTACCAATCTGATTATTTCTCTGGTCTTAAATAGTTTATTCTTGAAAATGCTGATTTAAAAAAAATCATCTTCAGTGTACAATTTTTGCCATTTCACTCATCCTTTAGCATGGGACAAGGCTTCAGAGTTTCAAAGTCATATGCATTAGAAATTACCAGCAAGGAATCTTATATTAGTGGATGAAATGCTCCAGATCACTGCTCATCAGTGGAACACTGCACTGGAAAAATTTAACATGAGCCAGTTTAGTCTACTTTGAATGCATGGGTATAAACTCCTTAATGATACTTGGCTTTAAACTACTGACTCGTTTTTTTCTATTAGGCCTAACAAGATCTCTTAATATCTAGCATATATATTCTGACTCTTTCAAGCATTCTAAACATACATTTGCAATATAGTCAACTTTTCAATCAAACATAATAACAACTATAATCACTGACAGACATCACAGCTTCCACTTTGCCAAAGCTCCATTGCAATGACAGCAGAACCACCTGTTGAAGGCCTTATTCTTATAATGATGGTTTCTGGAGCTGGAATTCCTTGCCTTCCTTCACCATGCACACAGCAACCACACTCAGAAAGGACAGTATTTATGTTCTGTGTGCACCACAGACCACAGGACTATGGGACATGGGAGTGCTCCAAACCCCAAAGCCAGCCAAAATATTCTAAGTGTAGGGTTCATCCAGCCAAAAAGGCAAACCAGAGAGAGCTATTTCCACCTCCTGTCTACATTCCAACACTTAGAGCAGGCCTTGAGTTTAGGGAGAGATTTCAAACAAGCTCACTGAATTGAGGAGACGGTCTCCTTTCTTCGATTTCCATCTAACAAATATCAGAGAGCTGTATATGCAGAAGGATGTACATACATACATACATACTAATACTACATACCATTAGACTGTCCCTTCGGATTCTTTGTTTTATGCTCAGAATGGTCATTAGCTTTTGAAGGAGAGCTTTTCCCAGGAACTGAAAAATGGCAACAAAGACAAATACTCATGACAACTTTTCATTTTTAATTTCATGATATTGTGTACCATATATTCACCAAAATCCACCTAAAAACTCTTGGAATATCACATATAAACAAAATAATACCTCCATGTTGCACATCTATGTGGTCCTGGGGCTGAAGAGTGACCCCCTCTCTTTGTTCACATTGACTGTCAGTTAGCAGACTCTGCTGCTCTTTTAGCAGCTCCTGCATTCGATCTATGTAATGATCCAGTCCGGGTTCAGACTGTGCATATAAATGTGGCTGTAGTGGGTGTGCCAGAATCTGCATGTGTCCATCTATGTCCCGAATTCTCCCATCACCAACCTCAATGGCTATGCTCCGAGTCTTGATAGGATCTGGTAAGCGGGAAGGACCACAAGCAATGTTCCGTGTCCGGAGTCCCACCAAGTAGTTCTCATTAACGTTAGCCAATCCAACGCCAATGTCACGAGTCATCACTTTGGGGATACCAGCAGTGACTGCATGTTCCTTCATAAAACCAGTGGTCCCGACAGCAATAGAACGCACTTTGACAGCTGTCCTTTGATCACTAACTTTTCCATCGCCAATTGCAAGTGTTCGGGTGATTACATGAGCAGTGTTGGTATGTCTTTCCCGAGTAAGCATGCTTGTTGTATTGGTGCTAGATTCTGAAATGTAGACCTGTGAAGTGCTGGTGCAGCGAGAGACAGTGTTGCCAGCTGTACTGGTGTATTGGGACAGGGTTTGTGGGGTCACTATAACACCAAAGTCAATGCCTCTGACTGGGTCGGTGACCGTACCTTTGGAAACAAGTGGTTTAACCACATTGACATTCACGTCTATAGTGCAATCACCACAGCCTATTGTTCGACTAGGTACTTTCTTCTTGTCCAGTGTTTCCATCAACTCCATAGTAACCATGCCAATATCACGAACACTCACGGCTGTTCCAACACCTTGACTGCAAGTTGGCACATACTCTTTTCCAACACATTGATCTTTCCTCTCTATCCTCTTCTGCACCTCCCACATATCTATGGGTATGTCTGGACCAGAGGCCATACCCCTTGTCTCTGGCCTACATGTCACTCCTACAGCAGTAGAAGCTTGCACTACCCCTTCACCTACAGCGACATGTACAAGTTGGGTGTGGTTTCCAACCCCAAGTGTCCGCGTCTGTACTTTAGTCTGGGCCGCAGTGCTTTGCATCTCCGGTTGTGCACTAGAACTCTTGTCAGCACGGTTGTGGGATCCCGCTTCCCATAGCTCACTCTTCAGTCTGCACATTTCTGCTTTAAGCAAGGCCTCTTTAAGCTCCGCCTCTAGCGTTTGCACCCTCTCACTCAAAACTTGGATGGTGTGCTGTTGCATCTCAAGTTCCAACTCCGTATCAGACACCACACCTAGCATAGCTTCAGTAACACCGACTGCTGTTGATCGTGTCTCAAGTCTGGTTTCTACTGCAATGTCCCTGCAGTAACTTACTGAACGCTTACAGTCCTCGCTGATGTTCTTGTCAACACCCATGGTCACGGATTTTTGACCTAAAGTTTTTGTTTTTGACATCTGTTGTGTTGCAAGGCGAGCATCTTGGATCTTCTTCTCAAGAAGCTGCATTTCGGCACTGAGTTGTTTGAATTCCTCCAGGCCAGACAGGGCGCCCTGTTCCTGATTTTCCACCTCCTCAGAGGATGTTCTCTTGTCCTCTTCATCTTTCTCTTTCTTGGAACTTTGTTGCTGAAGTTGCACTGCACTGCCTGTGCTATGTGCCCGTTTCCTGAATAGCCCTAGATCTAGATTAGAACCTAAACTTTGACTCCCCTGGTGCTTCACCAAAGCAATTAACTGTCTCTTTTCTTCCTGTAAGACAGAGATCTTTACTTGTAGAACAGGTATGGTCTTTACTTGTTCTTCTAGCTCTTTCAGCCTTTCCAGAGCCACCATCATCTGGTCCCTGACCAGCTGGAGATGCAATGGACTAACACTAGTCACTGGAGTAGCACGGCCAGAGCTCGAGGGACTGATTCTTAGAGAGCTATTCACTGTGGAAGCACCTTGACTGACCTTTTCAGGAACTGATCTCTTGGATGCTGCCTGGGTCTGTGTCGGTTTAAGGGCATTCCAGCTGGTATGAGGAGACAGAGTACCACTTGAGCTGAGGCCACCAAAACTGGCAAGCCTACGCCGTGGGTATAGCTCTGGAGGAATTGTCTGGGATGATGCTTTCTCTAGCTCCAAACGCCTGTGGGTCTCTACCAAGGTTCTCTCCACCAGAGGGTTTAGTTTAGAAGCAGTAGATTGACATGTGGCTGGGGGAGGCTTACCCTCTGAAGGTTTGTGATAAACAGGTAAGGCTTGAGAACATTCAGGACTCTCAGAGGTGGACTTAGGTGAAGAATAGGAGGGTGGAAGCGGGGGTCTCCTTCTGTTGACAGAAGAAGAGGATGAAGAGGTGCTGACGGAGGCATTCCGAGCTTCATCACTGCTCAGAGAGGACAGAGATTCAGAGGAGGCCCACTGGGAAGGGTCAACCCTACTCTGTGTTTCAGAGACTGGACTGGCCCTGGGCCGCCTGTTAAAACCAAGCCGCCGAATGGTGTCTTTTGTTTGTTCAATGTCACCCGCGTATTTAACAAAGTCTAGATCAAGTTGGTAGCCATATGGTGTACTAAGGCAGAAGGAAGAATTGTTGTAGGTATTGGCACTGGTCTCAAATGTGTCTGTACCAGGAGGGAGAAGAAAAGAATATCAAGTCAAAAATGCATGCACATGAAAAGACATTGTAACATATACTTAAAAGGTCCACCTACTGGATATGTTTTGAACTGCAGTAATGAACATACTTGTGGCTAATTGTGAAACATACACATTGTTTTTATGGGTGGTTTTGAGAACGAGTATTCAGGTACTCATTCGGAAATACCAACAAGTATTCAAAGCTTGTAACATGCTGTTCAGGCCAGCCTTCTATAATTTTCATTTCAACTTTTAAAAGAACAGAACTATGCCAATTTAGACCTAGCTGATGAAATTTGAGAGACAACATATTCTAAAGAATAATAAAATCATTTGAAGAGTGGAAATAAATGAAATTCCTGAAACATCAATGTGATAGCAAGCAAAGCATGAAACATAAATACCAGAGCAAAGAGAAAGAAAATTTCAAATATAATAATAATGCAAAAAAAAGCAAAAACAAATCATTTTGATGTATGCTGTGTAATATATGTCTTGTTTTTTTATAGCCTTTAAACTACAGTATATTTTGCTTTTAACTTATACATTTTGAATTTAACATTTAACTTTCTAAATGTATTTAAGTTCAATCAAACATTAGGCCTTAATTGCTCCATTTATGCACACGACAGTTTTTTCTGAGACAAAATCATTCACAATTGTGTTGGCATAGTAAATTATTTTAAAAACTTCTCACCTGTTAGTACAGTCCACAGCCTAAACAGTTCTTAGATCCTAACTTAGTCCAGTGCCTGCTGTCTGGCTCTCTCCTTCTCTCTACTGGCTTCTCCCGTTCTCTCTATTCTTCTTCTCTTATTTCTCCTCCCTCCCTCATATCTGCCTTTTCTCCTCCTCTAGCACACTATTCCGCTCCTCCTTTCTGTTTCTCAACTACTCCTCTAAAACAGACTAAAAACGTTAAAAGCAAAGTTAACCTCTCAGCCACTTCAAACAGCATGGCAAAGCAAAATTGATTTCCGCTGTGTATACAGTGCAGTCTATAGATAATTAGACCAGGACAAAATGTATGTATTCTGGTATACAGTCAAAAAATTTGATGAATAAAAATGAGCTGGTAAGTTGGTATGTTGTTAAGAAGGATGAAGGCACAGGTGAGCTTAGCATTAGCAAAAGATCTGGCACAGACTTCAGACGGTTTACCACAAAAAGCGGACCACATTACAGCCTGTTAAATAATAGAGATGGCACAATATGACGTTTTTGTTTCTGACATTTAGACTGAAACCTTGAGCATCTTTAAAAACTAATAAGCTTTAAAATGAGCCTTTTTTTCCCTTTTTTTAAAGCACTTCACTCTACCCACCTTTCATTGCAAATATAACAATTATACTTCCACTGATTTTTTAAATATACACATAATTCAGTGGTTGAGAGGAAGATGCACTGTAGAGAAATTTGACTTTCTTTACAGTGATAGTGATAGGAACCAGGGGTCACAATATCTACAACGCAAATATACCCATTTTATTTATCATCCAAAATAATCAGTGAACCTACATGTGTCTTTGAGGTAACATGTAACGCTGATGATGGTTAAATAGAGGTAAAGCAAAAAAAAAAGTTTTCTTTGGGCACTATTTTACATTCTAATGCCCTGCATTTATTTTAAAAATTTTAGGCCAAAAGCTTATCTCAAAACTATTGTAAAACAATCTCTCAGGCATTAGACAGTATATTTATAACCATTTAATGTAATAACTTTCTGATTAACCTGTACAAGAGTGAAGATAGGAAGAAACCACAAAAAGAAATAAGTCCTATTCTGGAGTAGAAAAAGATCAGGCCCAAAGCATCCCATCTGGCAGAGCATCACCAGGGAAGGCACCTAGCATCTGTTAGTGTCTATAGTGCACAGACAACAGGCAGTCACTGAATACAAAGGATTTGCAACCAAGTATATAAACATTCTGGATTTAATTAAGATTGTTCATTTGTCTGAATACTGGTGTCACCTAAAATGGGGTGATTCAACAGTATTATGCAAAAGTCTTGGGGTGTCAGAGAAAAAGGATACATAAAGCTATTTATCTAGCCAGTTACGAAAACAACACTAGAATAAACACAAATAAACAAATACGCAATACATTGTGATTATGTCTTTCTGTGATGTAACGTTCCAGTTTTAAGCTTTCCAGCCTAAAACTTGTATTTAAATGTCATGCATCACGTTGTGTATCATTCTGTAGTGCCACACTGCATCCCTCAGCGTCATCAGTTTGACAGAATTCAGTATTTTCTATTTGTTTGTGATTTCAGCCAAGAATGTTCTCTTACTATAATACCCAGCATGCATTGTACAAATACATCATACAAACATTGGGGATGCCCCCATAGCAATATGGAAATCCTGGCTGAGAGCATAGCCACTGCTAATAAATATAGAGTTAAATTAGGATTCCTTGCATTAATATTAGCTATCTGGCTTCCTTCTGCATTAGCTAACTAGTGGGAAAAAAGGAAAAAAAAATATCTGGCCCAAAGCCCTTGTATTACTTAAAAATTTTGAGATAAGTCATCAGAAGTGGGTTTTCCTAGCACTTAAACTGGAACATTTCGATCTAGACACTGATGTGCAACTACTGTAGGAGGTGGGTAGGCATGTTTACAATAGAATGGTAGTGATAACTATATTTTTTAGTTTAATCAGAGTGTCCCTTTAATCATTTCCAAACCTCTCTGTGAGGAAGCCCAGTATTAAAGTCACCATCTAGCACCTTCTTTGTCAAATCATTCATTAAATTAAAGCAGGTGTGCTGCTGATGGAGTTTAACAAATTCAAGCAATGGTTAGAATACACAGAGAAGTCAGGAAAGTCAGAGAAATCACCCTGTGTTAATATATAAATAACTTTTTTTTTTAAACTGCATTTATATATTTTTTTGTATTTATTATAATGTGCCAGTGTTTCTACAGGCATAAACTTAGTGCTGAGATAAATAATTTTGAACAATTTAGGTTCCAAAGACTTTTGCACAATACTTAAAAAAAGGATATATATGAGTCACCTAATATATAATACTGTGCAAAAGTTTTCGGCACTTGTGAAAATCAGATTTAAAAAGCTGTTTATCTGGGTGGTATATATTTATTTGCTTAGAAAAACACTAATGTTAGAACACATACAAACAGCATCAATACATTAGGTAGCACATTTATGTATGTCATTGTGTTCATTTAATCATTTCTGAACCTCTTCTTGAAGAAGCCCAGTATTATTTGTAGTTATCATTCAAAACCCAGTTTGGCTCAATCATAAAACAATATATTAAATGAAGTGAGCTGATAATGGAATTACCATGCAATGGCTGGGGGCATCAAGGAGACATCTGGAACCAAACTTTGTCCTTCAAACTAGACAAGACATCAACTACTTTTTAGAAAACAAGAAACTCTTCTTACTTTTTACTAGATTTGTTATTATCTGCAATTTTTTTTGTTACATTGTGTTTTTGCAAGCAAAGAGACACTTATTGCTAAGACAAATGATATTAAGCCTCATATTGAAGCTGACAATCTGAACTTTAACTGCATAGTCATTGTTTCAATTCAAATCCAATGAACTGGAGTACAGAACAAAAACAAGAACTGTGTCACTGTCTAACTATTATGGACTGCACTGTATACCCCAAAGTCTAATTCAATCATTTGCAAGCATTTAATGTCTTCTTTACATACAGTGGTGTCAAAAAGTCCACTAGAGAGAATTTTACTATTTTGCATTCCTTACTAATTTAATAGAAAGATTTTTATTATGAATTCTTTGTCAGCATAACTTGAATGAAAAGTAGAATACTTTTAACATGAATTTCAGAATTTCTTAGTATTTAGTATGGCTTTTTTTGCTTTAATGACAGCATGCGCTCAAGCTGGCATGGACTCCACAAGTTTATGGAAAAGACCCTGATGAGTAGATTAAATGCTCCAGAGAGCTGCCTGAACATAAGCTTCAATGGGAGAAATGGAACTAAAAAAAAAATTACCTTTTTGTACAAAAGCCTCAACATATTTGCTAAAATCTGAGGAGTGACCTAGAAATAGTGCAGAATCTTGAATATTTCTTTTTGTTGTATATTTCCATGTTCAAAAATCTTTTCAAAAAAAAAATCCCAGATTTTCAATGTGATCTCAAACTCTTGACCCCACTTTATGTCCACAGTCTTCTATATGTTTTTGTTTCTCTCTTCTACATCAGCATAAGAAATTTGCCAACCTGCGCCATTCGCATAAATGTAGGTTTCTTGAGCCATGGTAACGTTCTTGAGCCACGTAAATACACCTTCACGTCTTCTCTCATAAAACTGAATGAACACTGAGAAAACAAATGAGCACGAAGTTAATCTTAGAAAAAAAAACTTTCTCTGTGTCATAAACATCATGTCATCTGATCATGCTGCAGTGCTGCCTCCTACTGGTTTAATAAAGAATTAATGATGAAAGCTGACAGTATTGCACAGATTTTTTTAGTGTAATATTGAATGTCAACTTAGTGTAAAATTGTAAAAATCTAAAGTCATGATAAAATATAGCTTTACAGTTTATTTTTATTATCACCACTCTGCAAAATCAGAGACCACCCTTCATGTTTTTAATTACTGGCCATTAAGCTCATGTTATACATTTTTCCATATTGGGAGGAGAAAAAAAGCAGAAACCATATATGTAACACATCTACACAGAAACCACAACAGTTAAATATAATTTCAAGTTTTTCAGTATTTAATGTGTCTAGCCTTTAGCTTATTACAGCCTCCATTCTTTTATTTGGAGACCTGCTTTCAGCATTTTAAGAAACCTGCAGGGATATTTTTCCACACCTTCAAGGTTTAGTCTTAGAAGTTGCGTTTTCCACTTCACACAATCCAAGTAATCCCAAACACATTCAATGATGTTCTGGTCTGGACTCTGGGATGTTCAGTCTGTTGTTCTGAGAACACTAGCAGCTTCTTTGTTTCAATATTTTGTCTATTTCCTTTGCTCAGTAACAGCTTCTTGACAGCTACGCATCTTTTCAGACCCACAGCACTGAATTATCTTCTTGCGGTGGAAGGATGGACACATTTTTTCAGATCTGGATCACCGATTTCTCAAAGATGAAAGTGCTGTTTATCTGATGGTGGCAGTTTTGGTGGTCTACCAGGTCTTACACGCTTGTTAGAAGCCCTGTTTTCTTTTAATCTTTTAATAATTCTGTGGACTCACGTACTTTCCTTTGACTTTTGTTAAATGGGTTATCTTATATCTAATCTCATCAGAAATATCTCCTGAAATATGAATAACTTGTACAAACCGGATTCCAAAAAAGTTGGGACACTAAACAAATTGTGAATAAAAACTGAATGCAATGATGTGGAGGTGCCAACATCTAGTATTTTATTCAGAATAGAACACAAATCACAGATCAAAAGTTTAAACTGAGAGAATGTATCATTTTAAGCGAAAAATATGTTGTTTCAAAATTTCATGGCGTCAACAAATCCCAAAAAAGTTGGGACAAGGCCATTTTTACCACTGTGTGGCATCCCCCCTTCTTCTTACAACACTCAACAGACGTCTGGGACAGAGGAGACCAGTTTCTCAAGTTTAGAAATAGGAATGCTCTCCCATTCATGTCTAATACAGGCCTCTAACTGTTCAATCGTCTTGGGCCTTCTTTGTCGCACCTTCCTCTTTATGATGCGCCAAATGTTCTCTATAGGTGAAAGATCTGGACTGCAGGCTGGCCATTTCAGTACCCGGATCCTTCTCCTACGTAGCCATGATGTTGTGATTGCTGCAGAATGTGGTCTGGCATTATCTTGTTGAAAAATGCAGGGTCTTCCCTGAAAGAGATGACGTCTAGATGGGAGCATATGTTGTTCTAGAACCTGAACATAGTTCTCTGCATTAATGGTGCCTTTCCAGACATGCAAGCTGCCCATGCCACAAGCACTCATGCAACCCCATACCATCAGTGATGCAGGCTTCTGAACGGAGCGTTGATAACAACTTGGGTTATCCTTGTCCTCTCTGGTCCGGATGACATGGCGTCCCAGTGTTCCATAAAGAACTTCAAATCGTGACTCATCTGACCACAGAACAGTCTTCCATTTTGCCACACTCCATTTTAAAAGACCCCTGGCCCAGTGCAAACGTCTGAGCTTGTGGAGCTTGCTTAGAAATGGCTTCCTCTTTGCACTGTAGAGTTTCAGCTGGCAACGGCGGATGGCACGGTGGATTGTGTTCACTGACAATGCTTTCTGGAAGTATTCCTGAGCCCATTCTGTTATTTCCTTGACAGTGGCATTCCTGTTTGAGGTGCAGTGACGTTTAA